CATATCTTAGCTATGGTAAATAATGCTGCAATAAACTAGGCCAAGTGTGGCACCAAAAGCAATTAGCTCTTTTATCTACATTATTCTATTTCATTTTAGAATAAATCTTATTTATTTGGTAAATTTTTCAGGGAGAATAGTAATGACTTCAAAACCACACAGCCATATAGGCTTTAGTAGGGCTGTAATTCTGCAATTGTAGGACTAGAACTCCAAACCACATCTGTTTGTGAAGTTAGTGAAAGCTTTCTGGAGAAGAGAGTAGAGTTGAGTCTGGAATGCCAACTGAGGGATCTTTAGTGAGACACAGCAAGGACCCTAAGGCAGGAGTGCACACCACATGTTCAGATGGGACTGATCCACAGAACAGAGGATTAGTGAACTGAGCCATTTGGGTAGGAAGTGCAGTGTGAGGTCAGTTATCCCTGAATACCCATGAGAAGATGTTAAATATGATTTAACATTTCACTAGGCAGTTCTCTTAAAGTATGGATGCTTATGTTTCTGTGTACGTATGGGCCATCTGGAGATCTTGACTCTGGAAATAAATCTAGTAAGTTGGGGCTGGGAAGGTAGCTCAGCGGTAGAATGCATGCCTTGCAAGCATGAGGCCCTGGGTTCGATTCCTCAGCACCACATAAACAGAAAAAGCTGGAAGTGGTGCTGTGGCTCAAGTGGTAGAGCACTAGCCTTGAGCTGAAGAGCTGAGGGACAGCGCCCAGGCCGAGTTCAGGCCCCATGACCGGCAAAAAAATAAATAAATAAATAAATCTAGCAAGTTCCAGATGGTGATAACGTGTACTACTAGAACAACATTTTTTTTTTAATCTTCCTACCTCTCCTCCCTGGTGCTGGGGCTTGTACTCAAGGCCTGGGTTCTAGCCCTTACTTTTTCCCCTCATGGCTACTGCTCTACCATTTGACCACAGCCCTTCTTCCAGCTTTTTGGTGGTCAATTGAAGATAAGAATCTCATAGACTTTTCCTGCCTGAGTTGGGTTCAAACTGCAGTCCTCTGAGCTCAGGCTCCTAAGTAGCAGTTTCTGGCTGTTTAGGTCCACATTTTGAGTAGAAATAAAATGCTTTATAAACCTTAAATCAGCCATCTGAACAGCTGAATGATATAAGCACTGTAATTGCCCCCCTTCTGTAGATGAGAAAATGGCAAGTAATTTTGCAGAGGGCATAAGCCAGAAGTTAGAGACCTGCACTCCACCCCATACAGGGCACCCTGTGTGGACTGGTTCTAGTTCTTCCTTGCTGTAATGGCATCTCTGCTGCTTTGTTCACTACAGAGAAGGAGGACGTCAAACTAAGAGATAAATCCCGAAGTTGCAGGCTGACTTGGTAAATATCAAAGAATTTTAGGATGCTATTAAACACTGAAAGCATAAACAGAAATTTACATAGAGAAGTTTGTCTTTTTTTTTCTTTTTTATAAACAAGAAGCAAAGGAATATCATAAAACCATGTGTCTAGCTGGGGACTGGTGGCTCATGCCTGTACATCCTAGCTACTCAAGAACCTGAATCTGAGGATTGTGGTTCAGCGCCAGCCTGGGTATGAAAGTCCATACAGCTCATGTCCAGAAAACCAGAAGCAGAACTATGGCTCAAGTGCTAGTGTTAGCCTTGAGCAAAAGATCTCAGGGACAGCACCAGGCCCCGAGTTCAAGCCCCAGAACTGATGGGGAAACAACAACAACAAAAAAGCTATGTGCCTGTTGATGGCCTGTTCCTGAGTACATTGTGTTTATTCCTCTTCCACTGGAAGCTGGACTTTTATTAAATGTATCTGGACACATTTATGAGATCAAATTTTTGCTTTTTTCTCTTCCAAACAACTTTTGTGCAGGTGAAGAAAGTTATCGTTTATTTAGGTAGAGACAAAACGATGCAGTTGCTAGAAGAGCTGGTGAGTGAGCTACAGCTGACGGACCCTGTCAGTGCAGGGGTCACTCACATGGACAACCCCCCCTACTACCGCATCACTTCCAGCTGCAAAGTCCCCTCTGTCACCTCAGGTGAGGCACACAAATCTGCGGCTAGTAGCAGAAGACACGTCTGTTTTCACGCGTGTCAGTGCATTTCCTTACCATTACTGAGAAATCGTAATCAGATAAGAGTCATGCATAGTAACTAATTTGATAAGGTTTGGCAAATCCTCATAGAGCTAAAAAAATTTGACCGTATAAGAATTGTTTTATACTCTTGAGGGATAAAGCCTTATTGTGAATTAAAATAGAAATAAATATCCCTGTGGAATGAAATTTTTTTAAGGTAATAGGCATGTTAAATTTATAAAATTTATATAAATTATTTTATAAATTATTTGTCTATCCATTATAATAATTTGATATTTATATATCAGACAGTAAATCTAATTGAATAAAAATTCTATAGTTTTCTGTAGTAAATTGACAAATTATAGTTACATTATTATAAAGTATAAAGTATTGTGATTTATACATGTGGTATGGAATCAATAAAGCAAACTAACATCTTAACATAACTTAAACACTTATTACATTATTTTCAGTTGAAGAAATTACCTCTATAAGGGAATAATCTCCAATGAACATTATAATATCTAAGCTATTGTAGACAAAATTTCTGTTAAACTTTTTTGCTTAGTTTGTACTAAATGCATGTCAATAATATTGTATAAATCAAGATATATATGTCTTTATAATTTACTTGTTTTTATCAAACCTTGTGTCCTAATTTCTAGATGATTCCTAATATCTCTTCTATTGAAGTTTTTCATTTCTTGAAACTTTTTTTAAATTCCTAAGCATTTTGTTGTTGTTTTAAATTTTTTAATTTTTATTGTAAAAGTGATACACAGAGAGGTTAGTTACATAAGTCAGGTAATGAGCCTATGAGTTTTTTAATTAGGATTTTTAAAATAGTATCCAATTCATGTTTCATGGTTACACAGTTTTTTTCTGTATCTAATAAGTTACATAAGTTTTCTTTTTCCAGCTGAAGTTCCTGTTTTCTTTGTATTGCTGCTTGTTCTGATTTATTTTCATGAAGCTTTCCTTGCAAGCCTACTAATTCTAGATTTGTCTTTTCATTAGGAGTAAAACCTTACCAGCTCTAGAAGTATAGCTGGAACTTATTGACTGCATCCTTTGCTAAGTGATATCACTATTAGTAATAATCTCAGTAGAAGGTGTGTATGTTTATCTGTGGATTACGTTATCCACAAACATGCACACTGTCTTCCAGCCTCCAAAAGGCCAATGGGTAGGAAGGGTACAGGGTAGGAGAGGTGATTTCAGTGTGTCCTGGTTCAGAAACCCTCTAAAGAACTCATTACAAAAGACTCTTAGGAAGCAAGCCATTCAGAATACTGAGTACCTCTTTAGACTATCAAACAATTCTATTTGCAGCACTGCTGTCAACCCCTACTTACAGGTGCTCTGTGCTCATCCCCCAGCCTTGAGGAGGTGCAACATTATAAAAGCTTCTTAGCTTCCCTCATTTCCTGCCATTGTAACACTTAATTACTGCTTTGTCTACTTGTTGTCAAGCGGCCAATAATGTACTGCTGATGTCTCTTTATCTTCTGTGTCTTTATGAGCACATTCTTTTTTAAAAAATCAGTTTGTTTTCATTTCAATGGAGTTTTTGACTGACATCTTTTGTCTTTTTCTATCTTCGAAGTTAACAGGGACTGTTTTATTTTCCATGACAGGAACTACTTCTAGTAGCAATACAATGGTAGCTCCCACAGATGGCAACCTTGACAATAAGCCCATAAAAGAGAACCTAGAGGAGAGGTAATTCCTTCTCTTTCCTTCTTTAACCTTTCAGTGTGACAGATACTGATTGTCATCAAAGTTACTGGTAATTTCTGCCTTGGAATGTGTATTTCCTTGTGTTACATTCAGTGGAAGAAATGTTTCCATTTGGAAAAATTTTCACATTGACCTTGAAAATGTAAAGATGCTGATATACTCAGTTTCTTAATATTCAGTGAGGAAAGGTGAAAAGGTGGAATATAATGTCATTGCCCCAACGCCCCCATTGCTGGAGACTGAACCTAGGTCCTCACTCACATCTCACAAAGCCCTCTGCCCAGGTTCATCCTCAGCCACAATAAGTCATCCTTCCATTTGCTTTCCTTTCAAGGCTTTTCTAAATGAGTACCTGTTTTAAATAAAGTAGATTTCAGGAGACTCCCAACTTTAAGAAAAGCTGTAGGTATAGATAATTGACTATAAGCTTATGCTTTTAAGAGATCAAAATTAATATACGCTAACATAAACTTTTGCTAGGATGTTGTGCCTTGTGTGTTTCTCTAAACACTAAAGATTTGAACATAAAGTACAGATACCACTTTACCATGAACTGTGATCGACTTCCCTTCCTGTTCCTGTAGCTATGTACATCTGGACATCTACAGTGGACTGAACAGTCACTTAAACCGCCAACATCACAGACTAGAATCTCGGTACAGTAGCAGCTCTGGAGGATCTTATGAAGAAGAAAAAAGTAATACATTCCAAATGTCTTTATACAACCTTGTTGATGAGATGTGTTGTTGATTGTATTAAAGTTAATAAACTGTATTTTTCCAGAAAATTATTTTTTAAAATGTATATAACTGCCACTAGTGGTGTTCCAATCTAACCTGAAGCAATTTAAATAGTGAGTAAGAAGCCCAAACAAATGCTTTTCTTAAGAAGAATCAAAAGGAAGTAGAATTGGTTTTGAAGAAGCATCATAGGGCAGAAGCAACCTGTTCTTTTTGAACAGGTTTGCTTTTTTCTGTAGATTCTCATTTTTCTCACATGTACTTGGCTTGGATTGCCAAGGGAGTCATTCACTGGAGTCTCATTATAACATTAAGGTAGGTAGAAGAAAAGCACAAGTTTTTCAACCAGTAAGGAACCCTGGAGGTGATCTGGCCCAATCTCCATTTTGTGCACGATGGAACTGAGGTCCAGAGAGGTTAAGTGACTTACCTATGTCACACAGAATTCACATTTCCTGACATTTTTTTACTGCACCCTGCAGCCCGACTGTGGTAGAACAGATTTCTGTACAAGCTGGGTTTGTGTTGGCCCAGGAAATTTAGAGCCAGATAGGCAGCTTCACCTATACGGTGATCTGGCTTAGTCATCATTTGAGCAATCATAAGGAGGACCAACGCAATTTTGTTTTGATATAAAGGATGGAATCTGCAGTGATAGATCTGTCATCTGTTTATCATCTATCTATCTCTGTTTGTTTCTTCCCCTGGTCCCCACCTCTACCTCTGTCTCTTCCCTCTGCCTAATTTGATAATATCTGTACCAGGTATTCCTAGCAAACATGTCAAAATAGTGGGAAATTATACTTGATCACTTTCCAATGCTATAAATAGTTGTTGATGTCTTACTAGAGTTTGCTTATATTGGCAGAAATGAGATGGTGTAGAAAATGAGATCATTTTATTTTGATAGGTGATTCAATGCCACTTTATTCTAATTGGCGACTGAAAGTGATGGAGCATAACCAAGGAGAGCCACTGCCCTTCCCACCAGCTGGAGGCTGCTGGTCACCACTGGTGGATTACGTGCCTGAAACGTCAACACCTGGATTACCTCTTCACAGGTGGACTAGAGCATCACTCCTATTCACATGGGCCATGCTGCTGCTGAGCACTTCCGCTTTCCTCTTGCTATCTGACAACACAGAATAGAAGCCATCTTCTTTATCGAGATACTGAACCAAATTAGTCCAACGGCTTTCCATTTTATGAAATCTAAAAAATTTGGTACTTTAACTGTGTGATTGATAGTATAAGATCTAATTCTGCTGCTGCTTTTCTGGGTGTCTGGCATAGTTACTTGACCTTTCTGGGACCCAGTTACTACATCTGAAAAAAATGTGACTTTTTTGTAGTCAGCACTTCTATTTTGAATTGACGTCCCCTGAGTAAAATCACACTAGAACAATGTCTGCATTCTTTCAGAATTTAGCAATGCACCAAATCTGTGTTGAACACCTACTTTGTGGCAAGGAATGAGCCGGGTTTTAAGGTTGAAAGATAAAATGAAGACTTTGACTCAAGGACCTCTTAGCCTTTATTTTTTATTCTAAGCTGTCACTTGTAACAGTTTCTTCAGCTGCATTGGTTATTCCTTTTGTTTCCTTGAGAAGTATTTTTGCCATTAAATACAATCCTCAAGTCTTTAAATGATTTGTTCAAACCTTTGACCAGGTTCCTCAGATCTGGCAAATCATTGATTATAGTCTCTTTGTCACAGGTGTAACATCGCGGTGATCCTTTTGACTGATCTGATCATTGATCACAGTGTGAAGGTGGAATGGGGAAGCTATCTCCATCTTCTTCTTCATGCAATTTTTATAGGTAAGAAATTCCATTGTTCAGTTTATATGACAATTTAAAGAACATTTAAAAGAAAGCTTTTAGACATTTCTATTATTTCCATGATACTTTGCCAGTCTAAGGGGGAGTCATTCTCACCCTGATTTCTTTTCCTCTGTTTTTGGTTGTTGGTACTGGGGTTTAAACTCATCCTCCAGTGTACTCAGCTTACTTGCTCAGCTGGTGCTCTACCACGTGAGCTACATTTCCAACCTTGCTCTTTGCTGGTTATTTTGAAGACAGAGTCTCATGAACTTTCCTACATAGGCTGGCATCAAATCATGATCCTCCCAATCTCAGCCTCCTGAGTAGTTAGGATTAAAGGCATGAGCCACTGGCACTCAGCACATTTTTTTCCTATTAATATACATTAATAGTATTAGTATTAATTAGTATACATTATGATGATTCTGTATATATGTACAATGTATTTGGAACAATTTCACTATCTCTACAATATTCCCTTGGCTCCCTCTCCACCTTTCTGGACACCAAATGGATTTCATCATGCTTTCTTCATGTCTACATATGTAATGTACTTCGATCTTCTTCACCATTTAACTGCTCCTTCACCCTACCTGGTCCTTCTAATCCCATCCCCCAACAATTTCCCTTTTATACTTATGCCCCATTACTATTACTGCTTTCAAGATCATCATTCGTTTAGGTCTAGATTCCATATATAAGTGCAAACATGAGATTATTTGGCTTTTTAGGTTTAGCTTATTTCACTCAACATGCAAACCTTAGCCTTATTTCCAATCGCAGGTATGTTTATTTGCAGCCATGGGATCAAACTCAGGCCTGTACATGCGAAGAAAGCACTCTACCGCTGAGATGTCCTTATCCATGTTCTCCCCGAGTTATCCCTATTCTTATTCCTATCCTGTGCCCCCTGAAATCCCCCAAACCAAAACATGTACACTCTCTCAGGCAAAATTCTGTAATTCAAACAGAAATTATCTGTAGGATCAGAAACTACCAGAGTGAATGGAAAGTGCAAATACATTGTGCTTTTCACTGTTGAACAGTGATATTATACCTGAAACTCCAAGTGCAACAAACAAATGAGCTCTATTGTGACTTTAAAAAAAAAAACTTTTTTGCTTTTAGGATTGGCTTCCTGCAGCAAATCAAGGTAGTGATCTTCTTGTGCTTGCTGGCTGGTATTCAACCACTAACCCATACCTCCAGCCCTATTTTTTGCTATTTATTTTTAGGGTAAGGTCTTGCTTCCTCGGTGTCACTGAATCCAGCTTCCACTGTGGAGATGGAGTCTTGGAGTTTTCTGCTGGAGCTGGCCTAGAGTCATGATCCTCCTGATCTTAGCCTCTCAAGTAGCTAGGATTATTTATAAGCATAGGTCCTTGGCACCTAGCAGTTCAGACATTTTATACTACTTGCTGGATGCACGTGCACGTGTATGCACTTGCATGCGCAAGCACACACAGACACACACATATATACACACAAAGCCTACCCTTCAAGTTTTTGCATTTATATTTAGTATATAGTATAACAGGAATAATTTCCATGCCATCACTGAATTTTGGGCCTGAAACAAATTTAAAACTTACTGTGATTCTCTTAAGAGACTATTTAGTCTGGGGTCTGAGAATGTGGCTCAGTGGTAGAGTGCTTGCCTTGCATATATGAGACCCTGGTTTCAATTCCTTAGCACCACATAAGCAGAAAAAGCTGGAAGTGGCGCTGTGGTGGAGCACTAGCCTTGAGCTAAAGAGCTGAGGGACAGCGCCCAGGCCCAGAGTTTAGGTCCCACAACCCGCAAGAACAACAAAAAAAGAGACTATTTAATCTGAAAGAAGAGAAAACAGAAAGAAAAAAATAAAAAGACAGGATAAATAATTTTGAAATGCATTGCAACCATATATGAAAATAGCATAAGAGCCTGATGAAAGCTAATAACCAAGAGGAAGGGCTTAGAAAGAGAAACGGGCTCTGTCAGGGGGTGGGATCTAAGGAGGGAAGAGGCTAGCAAGGAGCGTAAAAGATGATGAACTGGTGTAAGTAAATTGTTTGCATCTATGAAAATAATACAGTGCAAGTAAGATTGGAAATGTTCACCCCATATAACTAATGTAAAAAACAAAACAAAATATGGTGATTCTTCCTAGGACAGTAGGCTTCTATAGAAGTGTAGAGATCAATAAAAAATAAGGCATGTAATGCCTCATATTCTGCGTATCCAGTGGACATATGATTCACCGGGTTCATGGATTTGACTAACCATGTTTGTAAATATTCTGGGGGAGTATTTGGGAGAAGTGTGGGATTTGTATCTATAGTGAATAGGTCTATTTTTTTTTCACTATTTCATAGTCAGTATTATGTTACAACTGTTTTCTGGTTGTTACACGTAACCTCCAGTTGAGTATAAAGGAGGAGGTGTGCTATATGCAGATATTCCTCCATTTATAAGATGGTAATTGGTGGAACCAGTTCCCTGGGTTGACGGAAATTTCTGCCTTTCTTTGACATGAGTTTGGCAGCAAGTATGCTCATTTCTTCTGAGTGATGATGATTTTCCTGTGTCCTTTTCAGGGTTTGATCACTGCCACCCTGAGGTGTATGAACATTGTAAACGCCTGCTTCTGCACTTATTAATAGTGATGGGACCCAACAGTAACATTCGAACTGTTGCTTCTGTCCTACTCAGGAACAAGGAGTTCAATGAGCCCAGGGTGCTGACAGTCAAACAAATTGCACACTTAGATTATACTTTCACAGGTATTTATTTACTCTACATCTATAGTTTTAAACAAGAACTATTCTTCAATACTATGGAATTCAGTGAAGTACTAGAATAAAACAGCATTTCATATACTAACTAAACTTTTAAAATTATTATTATTTATTTATTATCATACTGTTTTAAATGCCATTTTGTTATTTATTCACCAGTTAATGAATTCATTAAACTAGAACATTTGGGTCTGTATTGCTCTTAAGGACCTCGTATTACACAAAATTTACGTTTTGAATGTGTTTGTTGAGCTTACAATGAAAGTGCTTCATAGATTGAGTGCTATTTACGGAAATTTGGTGATTTATATTAGATTGCTTCCACTCCCAAAATAAAGAAAATGACCAAGTTGGGCATGAAAATTCATATTCAATTGATTATCTTTGCTGCATTTAAAATCTTACATATTTTGAAGGTCCAGTTATTGAGACTGTAGCATAAAAGTGACTTCCCTGTCTGTTTTTTTTGTTTCTGTTGTCCTTTACTATCAGAGTTCCACGGGTTCTTTCCTGATGGCTCCCACCTTGTTCCACTCAGTCATACCGTCAGGCTAAAAACAGATTGAAATAAAATTATCCTTTTTAAAAAATTATTTAAAACCTTATAATTTACCAAAAAGCATATAGTTAGTAAAAAAGTAGTTTTTGGAAACTTTTAAAAGCAGGCTTTTAAAACTGTGTAGCCTTTTTAAAACTACGTTTAAAGTAAGATTTTTAAAACTATTGTTAAAAGAAAAATAGAATAAAACATACTGCTTTTTTAATGTTAATTCACTTTATTTAAAATTCCATAATTGTTGTTTGCTTTTTTTTTTTTTTTTTTTGTCTGTTGTGGGGCTTGAACTCTGGACTTAGATGCTGTCCCTACGCTTTTCAGCTCAAAGCAAGTGCTCTACCACTTAAGCCACAGCACCACTTCTGGTTTATTGGAGATAGGAGTCTCACAGACTTTTCTGCCTGAGCTGGCTTTGAACCATGATCCTCAAATCTCAGCCTCCTAAGTAGCTAGGATTATAGGCATGTGCCATCGGCGCCCAGCTGGTTGTTTGCATTTTAGTCTTTTTTTGCCATTTTGTGAATATAGTATTCAATAATAACTTGGAATAATATTTGCTGCTTTACTATAGATATTAGAAAAAGATACTAAAATCTTTTTTAAATAAAATGAGTCAAAACATAGACTTTTCCACAAGGAATTAAAAATCAGTTCATATTACAGAAAAGGGGCTTGTTTAATAAAGGTTGATAAAATGTTAAGTAATTGGCACTTGCATTGGTTTTTTGGCAGATGGCAGCAGAGAACTGCCTGCTAAATGCAGATTGCTAAGTTACTAATCTGCTGCAAACAAATCACTTACTGTGATTGTGCTTCTGAGGGTCATCAGCAGAGCGGGGTTACATCTGCTCACACAGACGGAATCCCTCCGTGTCCCATATAGTCTATGAGTGTCCATGGATAGGGTAGCTCTGTAAGTGTCCTGTAGATTCTTTCTGTGTGGTTACTCATGACAAGCTTTCTCTTTCAGCAGGCATTAATGATTTTATACCTGATTACCAGCCCTCCCCTATGACCGACTCAGGGCTTAGCTCAAGTTCTACCTCTTCTAGTATCAGCTTAGGAAACAACAGCGCTGCCATTTCACACCTGCATACCACCCTTCTCAACGAGGTGGACATCTCAGTGGAACAGGATGGAAAAGTCAAAACCCTCATGGAATTCATTACCTCAAGGTACATTGCAGCTCTTACCATCCCAACAGTTAAGCCATGTTTGTACAAATTGGTATCATGTGGTATTTTGAAGATCATGATGCAGTTAGATGCTATCTTATTTTACATGGATACAGTTATACCTGAGAAGAGTGAATCATGCCTGGTTACTAACTGCGAAAGAGAATACACTATTGTCTGAATGTATAAATACTCTAGTTTCCTTCATTATCAACCAGCCAGCAAATGCTTATGTATAGTCTACTCTAGGCAAAATACTGTAACGCCAAAGAAGATAAGATGGGAAGAAGGGATCTGGTGTCCCACAGAAAAAGCCAAAGCCCTGGGTCATGGGGAAGCAAAAGATGTTTGGAAATAGGAGTGATCCGTTCTGGCTGGTATACTGAGAAAGAGTTTTTCTAGACAAGCTTTCATTAAACCTCTTTTAAAAATTCAAGCTGAAAAAAAAAATTCAAGCTGGAAAGCCATGAAACCAAGGCCTGTGGTTATAGATGATATTAAAAAATCAGTGAGCTAGTGTTCTACCAGCTACATGGCATGTAGTGTAAAGGTAGAGCACTTACCTAGCATGTGAGTCCCTTGGTTCAGTCCTTCACTCTGGACATTGAGCTAAATGAGGAGGGGGAGAAGGATAATGCATTTGTGTAGAAAAGCAGCCTCGAGCAGTGAATAGCATACCCGTGTACAAGGTATTGAAGGCATTTGGAACATAAGCTTAGCCACAGTGGTGGCCTTGAGACTACAACAGTTTTGGGGTTTTTTTTTAACTTTTTTTTTTTTTTTTTGGTTGTGGGGCTTGAACTCTGGGCCTGGGTGCCGTCCCTCAGCTCTTCAGCTCAAGGCTAGTGCGCTACCACTGGAGCCAAAGCGCCACTTCCAGCTTTATTGCTTATGTGGTGCTGAGGAATCGAACCCAGGGCCTCATGCATGCAAAGCAAGCACTCTACCACTGAGCCACCTTCCCAGCCCAACAGTTTTAAATATGAACAAACAGGACAGTATTCTTCCCCCAGTTTCCCTACAGTTTTTTGTTTTGTTTTGTTTTGGTCGGTCGTGGGGCCTGAACTCTGGGCCTGGGCGCTGTCCCTCAGCTCTTCAGCTCAAGGCTAGCGTTCTACCACTTGAGCCACTTCTGGCCTTTTCTACTTATGTGGTGCTAAGGAATCGAACCCAGGGCCTTATGCATGCAAGACAAGCACTCTACCACTGAGCCACCTTCCCAGCCCCTCCCTATATTTTTATTAAGTAACTTGTTTTCTTTGCATTGAACAGATAAATCATCTTTTTTGCCTTATCTGGACACAATCTAGCCTTTACAAATTAAGTTTTGCTTGTGACACTTTTATAGTAACCAATAGACAAATACATCATCTTTTACTTTTTAGAAAATTTGATGTTATTGAAAGTCATTGTTGAAATTATGCATTTCTTTCAACTATTCCATATCCATATATACAAATAATAAAAATAGACCATAACCTGCTGTTGAGTTATTCAATTGATACCTGTTCTACTTGTTCAAGCACAGTTTAGGGGAGTAAAACTTAAAGTTATAAACAAGGAAATTCCTCTATTCTCCGTTTTTAGGAAAAGGGGGCCTCTTTGGAACCATGAGGATGTTTCTGCCAAGAACTCCAGCATAAAGAGTGCTGAACAGTTAACTACATTTTTGAAACATGTGGTTTCTGTTTTTAAGCAGTCAAGCTCAGGTATCTTTCAGTAACTATTTTTAGAAAATAATTGTTTTAATGGGATGTTTTAATGTGCAGTTGAAATTGTGATAAAACAGCTGAAAGGAGATTGTTGTTCTTGTCTGAATCAAAACTTTTTAGCAAAGTTTTTTTTTAACTTGTTAATGATTACAGATCTGTTCTAGTTGTAGAAACATTAAGTCATTACTTAAACATAAGAATCTTACCTGTGTAATATAGGGTCCTTAGTTTTGTGGGTGATAGCATCATAAAATTATAATTGAGAATTATGGAAATTTATATTAAGGGAAAAAAGAGATGATAAAAATTCCTTCTTAAACTAGTAATTCTTCTAAAAATCTAAAATTTAACACAGCAAAACAATGAGTAAAAATATATATGTTTCTACAGCATTGGTCTTGCTTCTAGGGACATTCACAATGACTGGAGATACTCTTGTTTCCATTGCTGGATAGGTCCAAGGGGTGGGTGGAGAGAGTCCAGAGATATTGGTAACATCATTCAGTGTTCAGGACAGCCCTTCAAAGCATCAAGAATTACCTGGGCTAAACATGTTAGTGGTGCTATAGTTGAAAAACCCTGGTGCTAAGGACTGCTTCCCTGGGGACCAGGATGAAGAGCCATCTAACATACAAATGGAGTTTAATCAGAAACATTGACTTACACAAATTTAAGTGTTGACTGGTTGGCCAGATAGTATATGTGATTCCAGTTTTAAATGTGATTATAACCCCTGTAGTCCATAAAAATAAGAAATACGTGCTTGTTTCCTTTGCAGAAGGCATTCATTTGGAACATCATCTTAGTGAAGTTGCTCTGCAAACGGCGCTTTCTTGTTCTTCTCGACACTATGCTGGGAGATCCTTTCAGATTTTCAGGGCCCTGAAGCAGCCACTGTCTGCAGCTACACTTTCTGATGTTCTCTCCAGGCTTGTGGAAACTGTAGGGGACCCAGGAGAAGACGCCCAGGTGGGTCATTGCATTCTTTTCACAGTTATTGGACAGTTTCTGGTGGTCAAACACTTGTTGCTAAATAGTCCTGTAGCTAGAGCTAAATGATGGTCATATAGAATTGATCATTCCAAGTTAGCACACAGGCAGATAATTAAGACAACTTAAAGTTTTGTACTTACTATTGAATAATCTGAAAAATATATTTAATAACCTAGAGTTTACATCATACAGTCTTTTACCTGGCAGAGAAAACTTTACAGACACAGGACACAGCTGAATACTATCCAAGAATGATAAAGGAAGTAGAATTTAAATAACAGGAAAAAAGGTTAGATTTTGGTTTTAAAGACCATTAAATGAAATATTGCAGCATATAACTTAAACTTGATGTGAAAATTGAACTAGGAAAATTGAGGGGATGGATGAATTGGGAGAGATGTAGGAGAATTATGAAAGAGCTGATATTGATGAAGATGCATTGTACTTATAAACTGAGTTATAAACTGAATTGATAATGTTTTGTACAATTCCTTAATAGTCATTTTTTAAAAAGAACTTAGTTTTGTACAGTTCAGTGATTTTTATTAGCCCTTCCCTAGAACTTGGAGGTCCAGCACACATAATACAATTTTATTTGGTAATAGATGCTATGGAAATAATTTTGAGTAGCAGGCGATTAAGGAACAATGACTGTGAAGAAAATTTTGTGGAGTAGGAGATGAAGGAGCTATGATTGATGGGAAATAGTTTTAGTGGGACACCTGAGTCCAATGAGAAGAAAGCAAGAGAAAGAAGTACAGTGACTCTGGGGTAGAGGCAGTAGGGTTTTTGCATCTTGTTTTGTTGTGCTATTTTGAGGTGAATTTTGGAAACTAATGTGACTAGCATGTACTGAGGGTATGTCAGGAGGAGATGATGAGGTATCTGCTCTAGAGAGTGCCCTGGCAAGAGGTTTGGCTTACCCCTTCAGGCATCTGGGTGGTTTCCATTGGAAGCAGAAGAATGGGCAAGAGGTTTTTGTGAAAATGCAGGCTGGGATAGTGGTACATTAGATCTATCACAGGAAAGCTGTGGGCATAGCGAAAGGTAGTCATATTTAGAGTTTTGTTGAAGGAGTGGGTGGCAGAGGGGTTACTGGGGCTTGAACTTAGGGCCTGGGCTCTGTCCATGAGCTTTGTCACTCAAGGCTGGTGCTCTATCACTTGACCCTCAGCTGTACTTCCAGTTTTTTGGTAGTTAATTGAAGATAAGAGTCTCACTAACTCTTGCAGGGACTAACTTCAAACTGCAGTCTTCAGATCTCAGCCACCTGAGTAGCTAGTATTCTAGGCCTGAGCAACCAGTACCTGATAGAGCATACTTTTAAGGTGATATTTTTAACACTTGCTGCTAAACTCAACTTACAACTTCTAATAAAAGAACAAAGAAGGCTCTTAGACTTGTCACCTGAGAAATTTCAGGTAAATTATAGAGCCATTTTAAGCAATTTGTGCCATTAGTTTGATGAGTTTTTATCAGTCAGCAAAATTATGTTACTCAGGAGTTTATTTTGTGATATTAATGTCAAGTTGGTTCAATTTAAAATCTCATCAGGAAGTCCGTTGCAAATTTTTTTCAAGCATAATTAAGACCTGTCCTTCTTTCCCCAGGGATTTGTAATTGAGCTGCTTCTCACCTTGGAATCTGCAATTGATACTTTGGCGGAGACCATGAAACATTATGATCTTCTTTCTGCCCTTTCTCAGTAAGACCTTCAACCAAGGAATCTATTGAATATGGGATACCAGTATCAAAATGCATATAACATTGTGTTACTCCAACACCAGCAGTGAGAGTACTCCAAAAATGAGATGGCTGAGTAGCATGGGACACAGGCTTGAGACAGAGAGGGCTTCTGGATTGTCCTGGAGCTCACGGTGCCAGTGCAGCGCTTCCGGTGTCCATGTCCTTACTCTCTACTATTGGGCTCCGTCTACAAGCCCCATTGCTGCCACACCGAGTCCCCGTACTCCCCAAGTGACTCCCTAGGACACACTCCCTCTGAAGCAACCTTTCCTCCTGTGTTCTCTGCCTTTCAAGGTTCAGCTCAAGTATGGCCTTCGAGCTAAACATTTCTAACTCCCTCCAGGGAATTCTCAGTGTTGCCTTAATATTCGAATAATTGTAATTAACAGTATAAATCTATACATATGTCTTGTCTGGCACCTTCAATAGTCTTGACTTAATTTCCCTGCTTTTTGAATACACACTTCTGGTGCATTTAGAAGGCCTTCAGTGAATATTGTTTTTCTCAGTAATGGTTGGATATGATTCGAAGAAGGAGAAATCAGAGTTAGAGTTTTGAGTTTGGTTTTCTTGGAGACAATGTGCTATGTAAAGAAACAGGCACACCAGGACTGTCCAGCTTGAAGATGATAAGCCAACAAGGCCTGTTCTGGACATGCTTCATTCCTAAATCCCAGATCTGACAGTAAGTGATTACTGTAACAGTATTTTCTCAGCAATCCAAACCTCATCCTACCTCAGAAGCAATGCCCACAGTATAAATGGTACTCTTTGTTGTACATTTCCTCTGGAGGCAGAACTAAAAATTAAGGAAAGAAAGTCAGTTATACTAAAGCAGAATTTTTCTGGTTATAGTTACTGTCTTTCAGTTTTCAAGGGTATAAAGTTAATGTAAAAAGAAATGATTTAGACATGCATTCATTGTTTCTTTTTTTCCCTTCCAAAGAACCTCATACCGTGATCCTATAATGGGAAACAAGTATGCAGCTAACAGGAAAAGCACTGGACAACTCAATCTAAGCACAAGTCCCATTAATAGTAGCAGTTATTTGGGATCCAACAGTAATACAAGAAGTAACTCTCTGAGATTAAGTTTAATTGGTGACCGAAAAGGTGACCGGCGGCGCAGTAACACACTGGATATAATGGATGGACGGATAAACCATAGCAATAGCTTAGCTAGGACTAGAAGCCTTTCCTCTCTGCGGGAGAAAGGCACATATGACGTGCAGTCCACTACTGAGCCTACCAACTTGATGGCCACCATCTTTTGGATAGCAGCATCTTTATTAGAATCAGACTATGAATATGAATACCTCCTGGCTCTCAGACTTCTCAACAAACTGCTTATCCACTTGCCTTTGGATAAATCGGAGAGTCGAGAGAAGATTGAAAATGTACAAAACAAATTGAAGTGGAATAATTTTCCAGGCCTTCAACAGCTCTTCCTTAAAGGTTTTACCTCAGTATCTACTCAAGAAATGACCGTACACCTCCTCAGTAAACTTATTTCTGTCTCCAAACACACATTGGTGGATCCTTCCCAGTTGTCAGGTGATGTTAATATAATTGTAGCAATGTTAATATAATTGCATTTTAATGTAATTGAAGTATGAAGTCATATTTGTTTTGAAATCTGCTTTCTGCCATGTGTTTTTAATTCATTACATAGCTTAAGTTATCTAAAGGATGTAAAAGATCAAGTATCCCGGGAAAGGAAAAGTAAACTGTTGCTGCAAACACCTTGGGCTGGGGGACTGACTCCAGTGAAAGTATGCCTACCTAGCCAAGGTCCTAACACCACCAAAAATGAAATAAAATTAAATAAGTAAAGCACCTTAAACTTTTTAAATGGTATGCAATAAAATTGGTTGTTTGTTTGTTTTTTGATAGGCTTTCCTCTTAACATCCTTTGCTTATTGCCTCATTTAATCCAGCATTTTGACAGCCCAACTCAGTTTTGCAGAGAAACAGCTAGCCGGATAGCAAAGGTAAGCAAGTCCTATGCTACAAATAATACTATAAGGAAATTGCTCTTAAGTTTCTCCTAAGAGGGAGCCTCATAGAAATCTTCTTACTGTTTTGTCATATGGGAAATTGACATTTAAATGTTCGTTCTCTTTGTGCATATAAGAGTTACCTATAATGTAAGTTACAACTATTCAAGTAATAGTGAATAAAGTTATTAATTAGTGTAACCCTCCTCTTGAGTCTGAGTCATTTTCTGCTCTTTTTCTCTCCTCTCTATCTCTCTGTCAGTTTCTCACTATCAAATATTGACCCAGCACTGGGTTAAAGCTGGTAATACAATACTAAGCAAAGTAGTCAAATACCCTGTGGATCTCAGAGTGGGACCTGCAGTCAGGGACCTGCAGGCAGTTACCATCAAGGGTGATACTTTCTCAGTGATAGCGAAGAACTTTTTAGCAGCACATACAATAGATGTGTAGAGGAAGTCCTATCTTCCTCTGGAACGTATCCAAGACAGAATAGGACTAACACAGTAAGATCTCCTGATAAGAGGCCATGTGTGGGTTTGGAGGTTGAAGGATTGACATGTGAAAGACCACAAAGAATAGGGCATAATGTATTTGAGATTATGAAAGTTCTCCCTTAGTGTTTGTCTTTTTTGCTTTCAACATTTTTCCCTCTACATCTTCTCTGCTTTCTTCATTCCTTCTTCCTCCTTAGATCTTAAGTTTTAGAAGAATATGATTTTGATGTTTTGTCTTTTTTTTTTTTAATGATTTCCTATCTTAAGAACAATAAAGACTCCCCTCAAGGTGTTATGGTTCATGACCTATAATCCTAGCACTTGGGAGGCAAAATGAATATGAGTTTGAGGGCGGAGTAGGGGGAAAGGGAAGAAACAAAAATAAAGAACAATAAGGAATTCTTAGATAGCTTGCCTTCTTAAAATTTTTGGTCTGCTGGGCACCAGTGGTTCATCCCTGTAATCCTAGCTACTCAGGAGGCTGAGAACTGATTATCATGGTTCAAAGCCAGCCCAGGCAGGAAAAGTCTGTGAGACCAGGAACAGCTCCCAGGCCCAGAGTTCTAGCCCCATGATTGACAAAAGAAAAAAAATTTTTTTGGTCAGTCACTCAGCTTTTCCAACTGAAAATATAGACAGTATTAGGAGGAATTATAGAGATTCAGTAGTCTGTGGACAGGAGTAAATAAGGTGAGCTTTGAGTGAGTGAGGAGGAGGAGGGAAAAAAAGAACAGGAAATTCTCAACCAAAGAGAACAAGAAAAGAAAATTTTCAGGAAGAGCATTTTATAGAAGCAATTTTCTTAAAAGCTGTGATTCAAATAACAGCTCAGAATATGGACAAAGCAAACATATACAAAGTCAAGTAAAACACTCCTTCCTGTGACCCAACTCTGCTAATAAGTACACTGAGTTACAGATGGAGAGGGTCTTATACTACCATTTTAAAAGCAGGTGCTTTTAAGAAGCTGTTGCTATAGTTAATAGAAACGTATTTTATTTCTTAAATAAAAATTGTAGTGGGAGGAAATAATCCAAAAATATGTTTTATTCTTGGTTTTATTTTAAATGAATAAAACAGTATGGTTTTTTGTTTGTTTGGGTTTTATTGCCAGTCCTGGGGCTTGAACTCAGGGCCTGAGCACTGTCCCTGAGCTTCTTTATCTCAAGGTCAGTACTCTGCCTCTTGAGCCACAGCATCACTTCTGGCTTTTTCTGTTTATATGGTACTCAGGAATTGAACCCAGTGCTTCATGCATGCTAGGCAAGCACTCTACCACTAAGCCACATTCCCAGCACCAAGTATGATTTTTTTCTATTAAAATACTGCCTTTTGAAAATGATTATTTGATATCCCCATGCTGCTGATCACATGTATGGTGTATATGTGTACACCGTTATATGTTATAGACTGTGATAGACAATTTGCTCTAGGAAAGTTAGAATGAACTTGTGACTTTAAATGAGCATCATTATTCCACAATACTGTGAAATTTGGGAAATTATGTAATCACTTAATCACAATTTAAAAAAAAAAAGAACCTCGGGGAAGGTGGGGAGGGAAGGGATGGTAGGGGGAAAACAATGGAGGGGGTAACAATGCTCAATAGGAAGTGTACTCATTACCTTGCTCATGTAACTGTAACCCTCTGTATAGTATCTTTACAATAAAAATAAAAAGAAAATGATTATTTGAGCCAAGACCAATGGCTCATATCTGTAATCCTGGCTACCTAGGATGCCGAGGTTCTTAGAATTGAGGTTTGAAGTCAGCCCAGGTAGACAAATCTAAGAAACTCTTACCTACAGTTTACCACCAAAAAGCCCAAGACTGGAAGTGTGGCTAATGGTTAGAGTAAGGAAAAAGAAAAACAAAATAAAACAAACAAGTGAGAACTCAGAGCCTGAAGTCATACCCCAGTATTAGGGCACAGGCACACACACAAACACACAAGAAAATAATTAGCTAAAAAAAGTCAACTCTACCTGCTTTTTCCACTAATAATGTAAAAGTGACAAAGTTGCTAAAATAACTTTTATTTTAATTCTCTACTGACATCATTAAAAAACAAGGATTTGTTTTTTTTTCTAAAAGAGATGTTAGAAAATATAAGAGCAAAAAGTGTGTATGGCTTAATTTGCGATTTTAAGAGACTTGAATGACACAAGTACTCTAGTAGAGGAGGTAGAATTACTAAAGAGGCCATGTGGAGTGTGCTGAGTAGCTGGCCTCACTGAGCAGCCTGGGCTAGCTGAATGAGGATGGCCTAGCCCTTGAGTATGATGATGCCAAGACCATATCAGGGCAAGGGAAATTTCCCAGGTAGCTGTTTGTCTTTAAGAACTCAAATGGTGCCTTTTGTGATAAATTGTTTTGAAGTCTGCTTTCTTCCTGTTGAGCAGCATACAAAGGTTCCCTCTATGCTTTTAGCAACCTGCAGGGTGTGAATTAAATGCATTCCTTAATTTATTCTCCCACTTAGAGCTGTTGAGAGTAATTTTCTGCCATTATGTGCTTCCTCATTATGTAAATATCGCCAGTTCTGCTGTTTGTGTCCATGGAGAGCACAGAATTTCAAAATGAGACAACACTTAACGACTAAGACGGTTCTCTCATTATGACAAAAATAGTAAGCTGAAAAACTTTATTATGAAACAGTCTCTGGGACATTTATTATAAGATTGCATAGCATGTTTTCCAAGAACTTCTCTCTTTTATAAAAAAAAATTCTTAGAAATAAATCATTCTTTGGGATAAAGACGTTATTTAAGTTTGTAAGAATTCAGTAAGGGCAAGTAAGTATGGTGGCATACCACAATCCAGCTCTTAAGAGAAGCTAGGGGAAACAAATCTTGTTTCATAGTAAGACTCATCTCAAAAAACACTAACAACAAAAAAGAATGAACAAGAAACACAAAAAGAAAAACTCAATGAGAGTTTATTCTTCAAGAAATTTTGTCATATTTTTAAGAATTTGAACAAGATACTGTGAAAATTAGGGGATTTAAAAATGCATGTAAATTATTATATATTGAAATGGAAATAATAAGTTTTCCTCTTATTTGTTTCATAAGTAAGAGATTAATCCATGAAACCAGCTGCTTTTAGTAGTTCTATAGAATAACTTTCAGGTACTATATTCATAGCTTGTGCGCATGCTTTTATATCTTAGACCTATCAGTGATAACTTGATAGTCTCCAAGTCTGTTAAATATCTTCTAACTTATCAAATAGTCATTTATAATTCATGAGAAAGGGGTGTGTGTGTGTGTGTGTGTATTTTAAAGGTAATACTTAATTTCATTACTAAATGCTTTAGGCAGTTGTTAAAATATATATAAAATGAAAAAATACTAAACATTAATCATATCAAAGAATAAAGGAAAATGAAAAACATACATGATGAATCTAATCTTTTAAGATATATACTTATAAGACTAGCAGGGTCCTTTTGCAGTTCTAGATTGTTCAGGTGTCCTCTAGAGGGAGCTAAGACACATTTTCATCCAGTCAATAGCATTTTCATCCAGTCAATAGGATTCCCCAAACATAGGTTGATTCAGATTCCATGATACTGTATCAAACAAACTTTGAGAATTCCTTTATGCTATGGAGTGGCACCAAAATGGTTGGGCATACTCCCAGAGCTTAGATGTTTCCCTGATAAGCAATTGAGGTGATGAAGTGCTTGAATATGTCACACTTGCTGAGACTGCTTTGTGAGGCCCTGGAGACTGGAGACTGAAATACTTTCTCCCTAACATAGCTCCGCCAAACCAGCTTGAGAAAGCCCAAGTTGAATCTTCTGTTTAGGTTCCTATGCACTGAAATGTAGAAGAATTAAACCAAACAGCAACAAAAATGATCATGAATTTAAGGTTTACAAAGCCATAGGTGGTAGGTTTTTACCAGAGATTTTTTTTTATAGTTTCAGACTAGAAAAGGCCATACTTCTTAGTACTCATAGAAGAGTTTCATACAGTAATCCTATTTCCATTTCATCTGTTGTTCTCTTAAGAATGCTGTCTTTTTCGCTATTTTCTTTGACATTTCTACTTATTAGATGAATTGAAATTTTAGAATACACACTTGTTCCATTAAATAAATGCATTGGCATAAAATCAGGCTTAAATGTGTATCTTGATTTTTTTATGAGTGAATTAATTGTGTATGTTCTCTAGGTTTGTGCAGAAGAAAAATGTCCCACGCTTGTGAATCTGGCTCACATGATGAGTCTGTATAGTACGCACACGTACTCCAGAGACTGTTCTAACTGGATCAATGTCGTGTGCAGATACCTGCATGACTCCTTCTCAGATACCACATTCAGCCTTGTGACGTACCTAGCAGAGGTAAACTGAGATGTTTTTATTTTTAACTACTTAGACAAAATTTCCAAGTAGGTTTATTTGTGGAGTATCATTATAAAATTAAATCTTCAAATTGTCTTTGAGAATAAATATCAGTCACATCTTTTCTAAAAGAAACAGGAGGTGTGGCTCAAGTGGTAGAGGGCCAGCCTTGAGCAAAAAAGCCTAGCAAAAGGTCAAGCCTACACACACACACACACACGCACACACACACACACACACGCACACACACACATACACACACGCGCGCATGCACACACACACACACACACACACACACACACACACACACACCCTCTAACATCTTTTCTAAAAGAAAAAGTATTAATTTCAGGTAGGCAAGAAATTTTCCTTTTCCATTGCTTTGTCTTAGAACATTACACTAAATAATGTCCTCATTATTAGAAATGGCACATTAGTGTTTTAGTAGATTTTAATCCTAGAGAATAATTGTCATTTTTTTCTACAAGATTAGTTTTAATTTTGAAATCCTTTCTAGATTAATAGAGCAATATGCAAAGGCATTTCTGCTGGGTACATTTTTATTTTGATGATAGATTTTCTTACTGAAAATATGATTTTGAAAGGTATAAAAAACAGAATCACAAAAGAAAGTACCCTTAGAACTGCATAATAAAATGGTAATACTTATTTATGGGGGCCTCTGAGCTTAATGTCTGGCAACGTGAATTACTGAGTAAATATCTACACAGAAAAACATCAAGTAGAAGAAATTCTTTATCACTAAAAAAATCTACTTAGGATAAAGTAATCCTTTACTTTGTTTTTAGATAATTAACCTAAAAAAATTAGCCATGAAAGGATCTTGGAAGAAATTACAAGAGACTATTGCTCACAATACTGTTTTAACTTAGCCAAGCTGCTGTTGTTTACTATGACAAAATGAATCCTCCTTGGTGTGAATTTTTTACATGTTGGTTTTAATGGGTTTGCCATTGTCTAGTTGACACATGTAAACTGATGATCTGGCTGCCTTCCTATCCTTTTCTCAGCTTGATAAAATGCTAGATTGATCTCATGCCTATACCTCTAGGATGAGAGCCAGTATAACCAGGCCTACCCACTTTAGTCAGCTAATACCGGAATGCCTCCAACTACCCTCTCATTGTGCTGCCATGAAGCTCACTGTTGAGGAGGAACCTGCACTCTCTGAAGGTCCACCATGGGGTTCCAGGCATCGAAACCGGCACAATACGGCCTGTTGTGTATCAGATGTGGGCAGTGTTCTTTTACACTATAAAGACAAAAATGGCTTTGCCCCAAATGTTACTTACGTGAGTTATATTAATAACCCTTGGAAGTAGTACAAAGACTAGTTACAAGTAACGTGTCATTAAATTCTGCTCTGGAAATCCTGAGTTAGGTAGTACTACTGTTTATACTTTTTAATTTAAAAAAAAAACCACACAAAAAAAAAGCAGCTGGGCATTGATAGCTCATGCCTATAATCCTCGCCACTCACAAGGCCAAGATCCAAAGGATCATGGTTCAGAGCCAACTGGGACAGAAAAGTGGAAGAAACTCTAGCTCCAATTTAATCAGTGCTGATTGGAAGCATGTCTCTGTGTATGCAAGTCAGGTGAGACCCTGAGTTCTGGTACCATCACCAAAAAGGAAAAATCAAGTTCTTATTTTTTAGTAATAGTAGTTTTTCTTTGAACCTACAACCAGTGATAGTTTGCTAAAATTGTTAGGTAATGAGACATTATTAAGATGAATAATTATCCTGAAACAAGAAAACGTGGTAATAATAGACATTAGCTTTCATTACCTTGGTTTCTGGATCTCTGATCATCTAACCATAAACTCTTTTAAGTTTGTCTGCTAGCCATAAACCTAAGAGTTTACATCATAAGTGTAAATAGTAAGTTTATTTAACCTGATTAATATCTACTTACTATTTTCATTTTAGTTGCTAGAAAAAGGATTGTCCAGTATGCAGCAATCATTACTCCAGATTATCTACAGTCTGTTGAGTCACATTGACTTGTCGGCAGCCCCAACCAAGCAGTTTAATCTGGAGATCATAAAGATTATTGGCAAATATGTTCAGGTGAGTGACTATAAGATTTATATGTAGCATGATTCAACAAGAAACAATATATGTAATTATAACAACTCCAATTATAACATTTCCAAGAGTAAGAAACATGTTTGAGAAATACATACTACATGAGAAATATCTTCAAAATAAAAGGGGATCTTGTATTTTTGAGAAGCAGCTACATGGAATGTATGTGCACAAATGGCCACATTTAGCATCTCTGAATTGGAATTGTGACTCATTGTTTTCTTTGTACCATTCTGTTTGTTAATCAGATTCTACATGATAGGCAAATATTACTTTTAGGAGAAGAAGCTATTTTTTCTCTTTTTCTTTTTTTTTTTGTTTTTGTTTTTGTTTGTGTCAGTCATGAGGCTTGAACTCAGGACCTAGATGCTGTCCCTGAGCTTTTTCACTCAAGCTTAGTGCTCTACCACTTGGAGCCACAGCACCACTTCCAGTTTCTGGGACTTTGTGCCTGCTCTGGCTTTGAACCATGATCCTCAGATCTCAGCCTCCTGAGTAGCTAGGATTGCAGGCATGAGCCATGGGCACTCGGCTAGGAGAAACCATTTTTTTTTAAGTCTATATTTTATAGTTGTCTTTTTATGTCTGATTAAAAAAAAAAAAACTTCCCAGGGAAGGTGTCATGAAGCTTGAACTGTAGGCCTGGGCTCTGTGCCTGAGCTCTTCAGCTCAAGGCTAGAGCTCTACCACTTGGACCACAGTGCCACTTCCGGGCTTTTCTGTTTATGTGGTGCAGAGGAATCAAACCCAGGGCCTCATGCATCCTATCAAGCCCTCTACTACTGAGCCACCGTCCCAGTCCCTCCAGATATTTTTAAAACAGGAAAATCAAAGCTGGTCTAAGTGTGAATGGTGACAAGGTTACTTCACTTTTGTGCTAAGCAGATCAGGGGTCCACATGCAATGTATCAAGGGGAGAAACTATACCACTTGAGCCATCCCTTCAGCTCTTTTTGCTTTACTTTATTCTGATATTATCTCACGCTTAGCCTGGCTATCAATGTGAGGCTCAAGATCCTCCCATCTCCCCCTAGTAACTGGAATTGTAGTTATATACTATCTTGTCCCAACCAAGAGAAAAAACTCCTTATGAGCTTTCCCAGATAAATACTCTAGTTATGTTTACGTTCACTAGAGCAGAATTTAAAAAGAGAAAGACTTGACCAGCAATAAGTTTGTCTTCTAGCCCATATCTGAAAGTAATACAACAGTATTAAAATGTTTTTGAAGGCTGGTGAAGTAGCTCAGTGGTATAGTGTATGAGATACCCTCAGTTCAGTATCCAGCATCATTCTTCCTCCCCAAAAAATTTTCAATTCTTTAGTTGTGCAGTTGAGATTATTTTTAGATTGTCTTGAAAAATAACATTTCAAATATTTGTAAATATAAGATTTATTTGGTGACCCTATTTATTTAATCCTCAGTAGTAAAAGCTTTAAAAAGTCAACTTATTGAATACTATATTTGCTAGCTCTCACACAGAATACAAACCACCCTCCAATATAATCTATGAAAATATTCCTGAAGAAGTTTTAGTATTTCATAGTCCCAGATCTTCTAATTATTTCTGACAGGGAAAAAAAAGATGATTCTATAAGTGATTCTTTTTGCATGTGTGTGGTGGTACAGAGTTTTGAACTCAGGGTCTTGAACTTTCCAACTTGCTTGCCCTGCTGGTTCTCTATCATTTGACCCACACCTCCAGCCCAACCTTTTTCTGGTTATTTTGGAAGTCTCATACACTTTTCTACCACAGCTGACTTTAAACCACTATTCTCTAGATGGCCAGCTTCCTAAGTAGCTGTGATTACAGGCATGAGCTATTAACACTCAGCTTACAGTTGTATTTTTTAAATGTCACACTAGTAAGTAGACCTTTATTGTTATTTTGTGTTTTAGTTATATCAAGAGGGTTGAAAATGGATTTTAGTACTATAAATTTTTTTAAGAAGTAGTTTTTTCTTTGTATTTTTAAGGAAGATGGTAACAGAAGAAAGTTGTAAGTTCTTTATTTTAGGCACTTCTCCAAAGCAAAAATAGAATAAACTTCCTGATAATTATAAAAAATTTATTGGAAAGAAACCTGGTATTCTAATATGGTAACTTTCTAAGGTCTATGGTAGCTAATAAACCCACCAGTACAAATAATAACTTGTGTTTATTTTTTTCTTTCCTTTCCCCTTTTGATACTCAGACTTTCTATGAAAGATTTCAAAGGAAAATAAATCCTTTGCCCAGGTGTTTTTGTAGAAATAATATTTTGGTGATCTATGGCTACCCTAAGATTTTGTTCTTAGTTAAATATGCATTTATACCTTACATATGTGGTTTATTTTTTAAACCAGAGTCCTTACTGGAAAGAAGCCCTCAACATATTAAAACTAGTGGTGTCACGCTCTGCAAGCCTTGTTGTACCCAACGACATCCCAAAGGCCTATGCGGGAGACATAGGCTCTCCTGAAATATCCTTCACCAAAATCTTCAATAATGTGTCCAAGGAGTTGCCTGGGAAAACCTTAGATTTTCATTTTGACATCTCTGAGGTAAGATGTTCAGGAATGGATACAGATTCTCTACTAGGAATTTTCATTGGTACATTTTTTTTTTTGGAATTCTTATTCAACAGGCATTAGCTGAGATCATGCTCATCTACACTGTGGTAGCTGCTGTAAAAACCAGGGTGGGAGGGGCAGTACCAACAGTGTCTTGAGAAAACAGGCAAAGAAGCATTGTGATAAATGCTTCCTAGGAAATAAGTTAATGCGATGGAACACTATAGTGTGTACTTTAAAAGACTAGCTTCTGGAAGCAGGTCACAGTGGAAAGTTAAGTATGGAAAGATGAGTTGACTAGTCAGGCATACGTGGCATTTTGGAGGAAACAGAAACTAAGTTCAAGAAAAAAGGAGCCTTATAAATCAAGGGTGATTCTTGCCGGGAAGGCTAAGGCAATAAGTTCTGTCTTGGCCATGTTGACAAAGTGTTAACACTAATGGAAGTGACCTAATGGGCAATTATATTTGGGGATCTGAAAGTTTAGAGGAAAACTTGAGTGAACATAGAAATTCAAGTATGTTTTTGGAATTGTGTAAGGGGACAACTGCAGCCATGCATAGACATAAAAAGAAATCAAGGTTAGAACAGAATGTAACCTGTGATTCCAAATGTTTCAGGACTAGCCAGAGGCAGGGCAGGGTCCCAGTCCAGAAGGAAACCTACAGCCAGACATTATTGTAGTAACATAAAATTCATGTAAAAAATATTGACCTTACCTTGGTGCCATGACCCAAACCTACAGTCCTAGCTACTCAAGAGGCAAAATTAGAAAAATTTCATTTAGAGGCTAACACAGGCAAAAAAAAGAAAAATTACAAGATCCCATCTCAAGTAATACAAGCCAGATATGATGATAACATGCCTATCATTCCAGTGATGTGGGAAACATAAATAAGAGGATCATGGGCTATTGTTTGCTGGCCTGAGCATAAACTTTATACCCTAACATAACATAGCAAAAGCAAAAAGGGTTGGGGATATGGCTGGAGTGGTAAAAAGAAAAAGGGTAAGAATTTTGACCCTCGCTGAGAATCTGTCCCTACCCTACCCCGTTCTTTTTTCTTCAGAACCTGAGCCCATTGTTAGTAGTCTGAAGGTGTCATCAAAATCATGTTTTGAAAACCAAACGAAGAATTTTTCAGGAAAGAAATTTTGATCAAGTAGTACAGGAGGGTTAAGGAAATAAAAGACTGGAATTTTCCTTTTATATTGATTAAGATTATATAGATTAACAAATTTTAATGCAGTTTAATCCTAATTTATCCAAAACATTTTTGGTTGTGTTTTAGATGGAAAATATGTTTATTGATAATATGTTTTTTAGGGAATAATATCTGAATGTTTTTAAGATGAAGTTGTGGTGTGGGAAAATGATAGAGAAGCATGCCTGTTCTGTTTCTCATGAATCAGACACTGTGATCATACTGCTTCATTCTTTCATTTGAAGCCAGTTCCCAAAACCTTTATATATGTAATTTTAATATTTCTTCAAGTTTCTTAATCCCTGCAGTGTATAGGCACTGAGATCTACTGGAGGTACAGAGGAGATCACATGGGACCCAGGGGGACACATGTTGTTAGGGAGACACACACGTAAACAAATTACAATCAGCTCTGTAAACATCCCAGTGTCATTACACAGAGGGTCTAAGAGAAGGCCTCTTTGGAAGGCAGGAGTCAATAAAACATGGTAAGGATTTAGGTGGCTTTTCCATGCAACAAATGTCAAAATATAGCTTGATGACTCAGGAGACTGAGATCTGAGGATCATGGTTTGAAGCTAGCCTGGACAGGAAAGTCTGCCTGCAAGACTCTTAATAGTTAACCACCAAAAAGCCAGAAGTGGAAAAGCCAGAAGTGGAGCTGTGGCTCAAGTGGTAGAGTGCTGAGCAATAAAGCTCAGGGACAGGCTCTCATGCTTGTGCTTTGCTTTTTTGATCTACCACTCAGACCATACCTCCACTTTGAGACTCTGTTTGTTTTTTTCTTGTATGTATATATTTATGCAGTATTAGGGTTTGAACTCAGGACCTGCAATTGCCTGATAGAAGCTCTACCACTTGAACCATACCTCTAGGCTTTTTGCTTTCATCATTTTTCAAATACATACTTGCTTTTTTGTTATGGCCAACCTAGACCAGGCATCATGTTTCCATTTACCTGTCTACAAATCTAGGATGACAGGTGCAAAATACCACACTCAGCTTTTCTATTAGTTGAGATGGAGTCTCATGAACTTTTTGCCCAGGCTGGCCTCAAAACTGAGCCTCCTGATCTCAGCCTCTTAATATCTAGGATTATAGGCATGAATCAGATTCTGTTTATAATAGATAATAGGGATATAGATCAGTGATAGCTTATTTTCTTAGCATGCTCAAGGCCCTGAATTGGATTAGGAAAAAATATTAGATAATCTCATATAGAGAGTGATTCATTCATTCCAATAAAGCCTCTTGATGAAAACTGATACCTTGATCTTTGAGTTTTGTAACAGCTATCTCTCTCTGCTTATCTTATATTTTTTGGATATTTGTAGAGAGCATCATTGTAGGTCTACTACTAACCCTTGCTGGTATGTGTGATATTATACTTCTTGAATGAAATGCTGGCATTTTGCTTCTGTGTAGACCCCCATCATCGGTAATAAGTATGGCGACCAGCACAGTGCAGCTGGGAGGAATGGCAAACCCAAGGTGATTGCTGTCACGAGAAGCACTTCCTCTACTTCCTCTGGCTCCAACTCCAATGCCTTGGTCCCTGTCAGTTGGAAAAGGCCACAGTTATCACAGGTACACAGAGGATAGGAAGACTGACCATTTGTGGAATAGAAGAATCAATTTTCATATTATAAAAACGAGATTTTTCTTTAACACTAACATTTGGCATTTTTTTTCCTTTTTAGAGAAGAACAAGAGAAAAGCTAATGAATGTGCTTTCTCTCTGTGGCCCAGAATCTGGCCTCCCAAAGAACCCATCAGTGAGTCATCATTAATGCCTATGGAAACTGTAAAGATTATGCTGACCCATAAAGAAATGACCTTGCTTGCCTTTTCTAACTTAACCTGTATGGTATCAAGAGTGGGGGGAGGGCTGGGAAGGTGGCTCAGTGGTAAGGTGCTTGCCCTACATGCCTGAGGCCCTGGGTTGGTTCCTCAGCACCACATAAGCAGAAAAAGCCAGAAATGGCCCAGTGGCTCAAGTGGCAGAGCGCTAACCTTGAGCTGAAGAGCTGAAGGACAGCATTCAGGCCCAGAGTTCAAGTTCCATGACTGGCAACAAATAAAAAGAGGGGAAAAGATTTTGTTGTAATACCTGGTAACTATGCTGACAAAGATGGAATGAACGTGAATTTAGGATCCCCAGGAAGATGAGGTCACGGGGACTTTCAGGGTTGATGACACCAGACACAGTGACAAAGCTGATGGGGGATTTTTTTTTTTCGGGCACCAGGTTATATTTTCCTCTAATGAGGACTTAGAGGCCGGTGACCAGCAGCCCAGCCTGATTTCTACCACCGAAGACGCCATGCAGGAGGAAGAGGTGGCCCTGGAGGACAATAACAGTGAACAACAGTTTGGCGTCTTTAAGGATTTTGACTTTTTAGATGTTGAACTGGAAGATGCAGAGGTAAGAATATGGGCTATATCTTTTTCCTTTTTTTTTTTTAAATCTAGAGTTTGAACTCAGACCTCAAATTTACTAGGCTTGCTTGTTTAGCTTGGTGCTCTACCCTTTGAGCCATGCATCCAGCCCTTTCATATTTGTAAAAGCTGGGTTCTTTTTCTTTGTCTTCGCTTTTGTGGGGGACAGTCCTGGAGATTGAACTCAGGGCTTCACACTTGCTTGGCAAGTACTTTACCACGTCAGCCACTCACCCAGGCCTTTTGCTTTTAGTTCTTGTGCTTTTGTCTAACTAGCCTGGAACTGTGCTCCTTCTCCCTCTGCCTCCCATGTAGCTGTGACTACAGGAGTATGTCACTGTGTGTCCTACTAGCTTTTGTTCGGCTATCCTCAACCTCAATCCTCTTACCTATCTTTTTTTTTTTAACAAGAGGGATCACTGGCATGCTGTAATTTGGGGGGAGGGTTTTCAATGGCATTGGGGTTTGAACTCAGTCCATCAGCCTTGCTAGGTGTAGGCACTCTTTCCTGGCAAACCACACCTCAGTCTTTGTGTTCATTATTTTTCAAATAGAGTCTTACTTTTTGCTGAATGGGCCTGAACTCTGGCCCTTCTGTTTACACTTCCCACCATGGCTAGGATGACAGACAGGCATCACCACATCCACCTGTTTCTGTTGAGATCATGTCTCATAAGCTTTTTTGCTTAGATTAGCCTCCATTTTTCCAATCTCAGCCTCCTGTGTCACTAAGGTGACAGTTATTAGTTGGGAAGGACTCTTGCAACTTTTTGTCTGGGTTGGCCTTGAACCCTAGTCCTTCTGATCTGCATCTCCTAATTAGTTAGGATTACCAATAGCACCTGTCCTCATAATGTTTTGCATGAGTATACAGATTAATTTGCAGGAGAATCATAAAGATATCGCATTAAACTTAATTTTAACAAATATGGCATTTGTCATTAAGTCGATTGCCAAAAAAGGTTTGGCTATCTAGAACCATCTCACTAGCAGATGACTGTGGTTTTCTGACATTCCCAAGTATTTTTTTCTTTTTTTTTGGTCAGTTGTGGGGCTTGAACTCTGGGCCGAGGTGCTGTTCCCTAAGCTCCTCAGCTCAAGGTGAGCACTCTACCACTTGAGCCACAACGCCACTTTGGTTTTCTGGTGTTTAATTGGATATAAGAGTCATAACTTTAAAAAAAAAAATCATAACTTTCCTTCCTGGCCGGCTTTGAACCGCGATCCTCAGATCTCAGCCTCCTGAGTAGTAGGTGTCCATCTCCCACTTACCTTTTTTTCTTGAGGTTACTAACTCTCCTAGTTCCTTGTGGTTTTTGTGGGTTTTTTTTTAATATCAAAAGGCTCTTTTAAACCAATCCAGTCTAGATGATACTGACCTCTAGGTGATTTTAGATATTTTCTAAATGAAAATTCAAATACGAAAAATGAATTTATTAGTCTCTAAGACTGAGTTAGTCCAAAGTTCAAGCATGTATTTAGTATAACTCAGTAAGGTCTCTGGTTGCCCTCTGTACAGGTCAGTAGCCAAATGGCTGTCACTGTTGTGTATGGCCTTCCCTTCCCACAATGGTGTTTGGAGGAAGTGAGTGTGATTAGCAGACTTCTTGCTATATCTAATTGGTTCAAGTTGAAACATTTGCCAACTTCTGTATGACTGTTGTAGCAAATATGATAAAATTGCCCCGTTGTCTTAGGCTATTAGCAAACCATTCTTTCGTGGGGCAGTGGCCACAAAACATTTTTTATTTCAAGTCATGGTCCATATAGGCATTCTCTGTTCGTTCTCTCCCCCCCTCCCCCATACATACACATGAACACACACATAGTTTCAAGAGTAAACATCCTTACTGTATGCTGCTTTGTGAATATTCTCCATTCTTTTTTTTTTTTTTCAAAAAAGGCTGGTCACCACCCTCTAAAAGTAATTTCACACTCACTTATTTTAAAAATCATATCTAAATTCTTCAGCCTTTTTTTGGGGGGGTTCAGAATTTAGATTTCCAAAAACAGGCTCCCAGACTGCTAGCTCAAGTAGGATATGAAAAACTTGCCTAGGATATGAAAATCTTCAGTTCAATCCTCAGTACCCTTTTTTAAAAAAATAAAATAAAGACAGCTTCCTGACATTTTCATGATAATATGGTAATTCTTTTGGTTTTGTTTCTTTGTTTTGTTTGCTTATCTTTAAGGAACACTAAAAATGTTTTCATGTTCATCTTTAAAATACTTTAAAATATCATTAGTAATAAATGCAGCTTTTAGTAGAACCTTATTCAGAATGGATTGAATATGCTGTAGGTTCTATATTTAATTCAAGTCATAATAACTAGGGAAGAGATGTAGAAATTCTCATTTAGACCTCATAATTAAGCCTAACCATTGATAAATATTTTCTAAAATCTGGATATAGTCCTATTATAGGAAATATTTTGATTGTTTAAAAACAAACATTGTCACTGATGAAACTAAAATACCCCCAAACTTTGAAACATATAGATTATATTCATTCTCCATATATTTTGAAGGCTGTTGTTAACATTGTGTGATAATAGTACATAATATTATTTGAAATGATGTTTTCTAGAAGGGTAGTTTCCAAAGTCTAGTAGTTTTACAGAGCCCCAGGGGCTTCTGAGATTCCTTGAAAAACAGGAAAGACCTTGGGGTCACCTAGACAGGGCCACTAGGCACCATATTCAGCCTTGTCTTCTATAAAATTCTGTTTGAATTAAATATTCCTTTGTTGTTGTTTTTAAAAAAAGGAAAATTTGAAAATTTCTATTCTGAATAATTTCTTTCTGGGTAAAGAGGTAGAAATAAGTTCTGTTTTGCTAACTAACTCGTATAGTTTGTCATATCAAAGTCTAAGAAAAGCTGGGGAGAATTATATCCTTACAAAAAGGCGATCACATTAGACTAACAGAAACATAATATAAATCTATAACTGGGATGAAATTTTGTCATATCACATTAGACTAACAGAAACATAATATAAATCTATTAAGTGGGATGAAATTTTGTCATATTTCTTCTTACCTTTTGAAATTGCAGAAGTTTCTATTTTGATAGCTGTAATCTTGATTTTAATAATAAAAAAATGACCATTGCATTTAACCAGGACAGTTATACAGATTAAAATAATTGTGACCTTATATGTTGTCAACTGAATGTGAGTATTTTAAGTCAGTTTTCTGCATTGTACCAAGTATTAAATCCATGTAAATTTTAAGGATAAGTTTGTGTTGCCAAAGTGTATCATAGAAATGTTGTTTTAAGTGTCTGTCTCTGACTATTTCACAATATATTTTGCATTAAAAAGTAGCTTGAGTCACATGTTCAAAGCTTACTCCAGAGCTTGAATCAGTCTTTTTGAGTTTTAGAAATCAGTTTTCCCAAGACAATGTAGTGTATATTTGAGTGTTTGTCTTCGTTCTTTCTAATTCTGTGTGTTTTCCTTTTTGCTAACCAGGAACTGCAGGTAAGTTGCAGCCTGGTGTTGTGATTGTTGTCATTGTCATCTGTGGTGTGTTTGTCCTCCTGTGCTTTCATTCGTGCTCATTGTTAGAGTAGAAATGACCTAGAGTGTAGACATCGTAGATTCCCACAGTAATACAAAGAGAATGTTAAGAAAATTACTTAGCAAAAAACAGGCTATCAACCAAGTAATTATCTCTAAATGTAAACACTTAATGATGATTTAAACATTTAAAGAAATTGAAGGGCTGATTGAAACTCTGCTTTTGATGATGTATTCAGTATTTTTTTTCATCTCAGTATATGTTCTCCTGGTGTGTTAGTTATAACATTTATGAAGATACCTTTGAGGTCTTAGAAGTCCTGTCTTGCTTTCCCAGGGTGAAAGCATGGACAATTTCAACTGGGGAGTCAGGCGGCGCTCACTGGACAGCATCGACAAAGGGGATACACCGTCCCTCCAGGAGTACCAGTGCTCCAGCAGCACCCCCAGCCTGACGCTGACAAACCAGGAGGACACCGATGAGTCTTCTGAGGAGGACGCAGCCCTCACAGCCAGCCAGATCCTCTCCCGCACACAAATGGTATGCACCCGCCCTCCTCCCTTCCAACCTGGTCATTACCAGGGCCTGGGCTCTGTCTTTCATTTCGTTATGGGCAAAATACAGCTTCCTTTCTCATCATGGTAAGCTGCTCTGAGCAATTTTTAGGGACCTCATCTTGAACTGCACATATTTTTGGTTTCAGTATGGTAAGACTACCCCTTAGTCCATCTCTGCTTTTCTTTCCTAATTAGTCTGGTATGCAAAGACCAAGCAGAGCTTTGGTCTCTTTCAAGATTGCATGAAATAGGTGGAAATTCTGGCTCGCATCCCAGGGGCTAGATGACAGATTTAAAGAAGAAATGAGAAGAGTCATCATGTCATCTTTCATTGAGAAATGTGAGAGTGAAAGATAGCCTCAAGGGCTGGAGGCATGACTCAAGTGACAGAGTACCTAGCAAGCACAAGGCCCTGAGCTCAGACCATAGTACTGCTGGGGGGGGGGGGGGAGAGGGACAGTGAGTCAGGTGTCTGTGGCTCACACATAGAATCCTAGCTAATCAGGAGTGGGCTCTGAGGTCTGCAGTTCGAAGCCAGCCTGATCTCTCTAAGACTCTTATTTCCAATTAACTTCCCAAAAGCCAGAAGTGGATCTGTTATTTAAGTGGTAGAGTACTAGCTTTGAGCAAAAAAGCTCAGAGACAGTGCCCAGACCTTGAGTTCAAACCCCAGTATGGGCGGAAAAAAAAAAAAAAAACTATTTGCAGCTGTAGCAGGGTTGGAACTTGAAGGGCACATTAAGGAAACAGCCCGACTGGGGTGTGTTAGCGCATCAATGATGGCCTTATTCATGCTAAAGTGAGCCTATCCCCCCCAGTGCAGACCCACGAGCTCACCACACCGCACTCTGCAGGTCAGGTGCTGAATAGCCATGCTGCGCTGAGCTGGCTTTAGGTGAAATGGCACGTTTGTGGTGGGCCTCTTCCTGTCTTCTCTGTTTTGACATCTTGTTGCCCCAATATGTCTTTGAAATGCAACCTCCCTGCTTGTAAGCGATAGACAACCTGCTGCTGGAAGCAGTGCTGCGTGAGTGTGCCAGGCTCTGTCCCAGATGTTGCGTGTATTAGTTCCTAAGCAGGGTGGTGGTCATTCAGCAGGGTAGGAGAATTTGAACCAGTTCTGCCTCAAGTGGCCATGCTCTTATCCATGGTTCCTAGGCTTGTCCTCAAGGAGATGTTTTCATGCCAAAGGAATGGTTGAGTTCATGGCCACAGCGAGGGACAGAATGAGAACCAGTCAGTTCCTAGAAGCCAGCCATAGCTCGCACTGTGGCTTTGCCTCTGTGCCTCTGTGGCCATAGACCAAGGCTGGCATGATTCAAACTGTGGTGGCGTTGCCTAACCTCTCTTTTAAATAAAACGGGACCCCTGGGAGTATCCACCTAGTGGAATTTATGAGGAATGAAGCTTCTGGCCCATAGTAGGTGCTTCATAATGATCCATACTCATGAGAGTAGCAAGCTGAATTGTCTGTCTATGTTAAAAGTCCAACTCTTTTCATATAGGTTTAAGATAAAGAGAAAACTTAAGTTTGCTTCTTCCTCAGAGGAAAAAATGAATTTTTGCCTCATATTGTATATTGACCTGGATTAAACTATAGCCCTGCTTAAAAGGAAAATGTACTTTCTTTTTAAATTAAAAACTACTAGTTTTCAAAGAAAACAAACCCAACAGTAGTTTTTTTCCACTATGACAATTTTATTTTGGTTTTGTAAATTTTTTTTAAATCTTTTTGAAACTGGTGTTGATTTTTTCCTTGCATAAGCAAACAGCCCACCCAGGATACTTCCTGAAGATTCACCCTTGTGAATTCTCCCTGACACAGAGAGCTCCTGCCTTCATACATTTTGAAACTGACTGAAACACCCACAAAAGTGTGAACTGCTACGTAAAGCTAACATAAGTTACACAGAGTTCTTCTACTTCGTTTATTTAACCAAGTTATTAATCTGAACCTGCATGAATGAATGCAGGTTACAGCACCCATTCCATCCCATATAGACTGGATGGAAGGAAGGGTAACTAGGAAATTCCAGAAGTTCCTAGAATATTTCATGCTGTGGGAGGTTCCATGTGACTCTTGTGACTGTCACTAGCTCATAAACAACAAACCTCTCATCCCACCATGTCTCCTTCCAGCTAAACAACGACTCTGCTGTTGATGAACTGACGCCAGAGCATCCTGACTTGCTTCTTCAATCTCAAGATTCCACCAACAGCAACACAACAGAAGAAGTGCTGCAAATCAGAGCTGAGACCCCCAGTTTGGAGGCCTGTCTAGATAATGCTAGCAGCCAGCTGCCTGAGGTGGGGAGACGTGGGGCTGGTGCATGGCCAATCTAGGTTACTTGAAGCACTCTGCCACATCCCTTGCTTGCTTTCCAAGAGTTTTCAGCTAATGTGCTAAGTATTTGATTTGTTTCTAGTATTTCTAACCTGTTGGGTTGTTTCAGACAAAATAGAGAAATCTGATTTTTTTTTTCTTTAAGTTGACAAGTTGAGGAAATAACCTACAGGTTAAAAATAATCTTGAGTGTGTCAATATGAGCATTTTGCGTTGCAGAGTGACGGTTACTACGCAGGCGCTTCTCTGGTGACAGCAGGCGTCGCCTGGGTGCTACATTTCTTTTATTTCTCTTCCCCTTCTTGCTTTGTGTGGGGTTCATGTGATTGGGGCTGTGAGGGGGTGAGAACCTCAGGCCAGCTGTGTTAGCAGTTGGTTCAGTAACCTTTTCAAAAGACTTTCGAACCATTAGTATTATGTTTTTTGGAAAGGCCTGTGAGAAGTAAGCCAGATTCCAAGCTAATGACTGACCAAAAATAAGTAAGTATTAGTTTTCTTAGTGTTTTGATTACAGATTATTATAGATTTTTTAATGTAATTGCAATGGTTCTATGAAATGTGCTTTTTTTTGTCTTGGTAAGTATTAGAAATTGCAATGTAGCTATTGTAAATCTAACCCAGTTATTAGATTGTCTTATTTTATCAAGGTGAAGTCTCATGCATGTTCTTATCAGTCTGAGAATTCATTTTGCATGTTCGAACCGTCTTTAGGAGTGCAGATATATCTTGAAATAAAGGCATTCTGGCTTCCTTATCAGCAGACTTTAAAATACTTACAATAACATGGCTAAGGCTTAGATAATTAAACAAATACTATGGTTGCATTAGATGTCAGACTTCGAGTGAGGGAATAGAACTTGACCATAGTTTACTGTCAAGATCAAGAAAGAACAAGAGGCATTTTTTTTTCCTAATTACATCTCATTATGAGAAACTTGGTAGTAAGTAAGTTGAAGGCTTTGTGAAAATTTAGAGGACTGTGGCATGCTGTGCCCTAGAAGGGCTGGTGAGAAAGGACAAGTATTGGGATCTTCCATGCAGAGAGAGATGGCATAGGAAAAGGCATGGCAGTGGGAAATTGCATGATACATTCGGGCGGCTTCAGGAAGTTCAGTTTTTCTGAAGAATAAAACAAGTAGAAGGTTAGAAACAATAGGAGAGGCAAATAGGATCTAAGACACGAGGGATCCTAAAGACGGATGATAGCTTCTCAAAATGGAACTCATGCAGTTTTTTCATCCTTTCAAGAAATAGCTGAGCTAGTGAGCTTTACTGTTTGAGATGATTAATTTTAAAAGAAGAAGGGTTCAGTCAGGCCCTGAAGATTCACACTTATTATGCTAGTTACTGAAGGGGCAGAGATCTGAGGATTGCAGTTTGAAGCCACCCTGGGGAGGAAAGTCAGTGTGAGATACTTTTCTGTAATAAACCACCAAAAAGCCAGAAGTAGAGCGGTGGCTCTGATAGATTGCTAGCCCTGGGCAAAAAAGCTCGGGAACAGTGGCTGGACTGAGTTCAAGCCCCAGGACTGGCACAAAAAAGAAAGAAAGAAAGAAAGAAAGAAAGAAAGAAAGAAAGAAAGAAAGAAAGAAAGAAAGAAAGAAAGAAAGAAAGAAAGAAAGAAAGAAAGAAAGAGGAAAAACAATGGAAAGACTAGAAACAAAGTTGATATAGTGTCTTATTTTAATTTTGGTTAACAACGGGGAAAATACCTTCTCTTTGATTACAAATTTCAGTTACTCCTGAAGGAATTGATATTTTGGAAATGTTACATTCTTTCAGATCGGACATGTTTTCATCCAACAAAATTCAATGGACTTAGTTCCCAGCACTATAATGTTCCTGGGGGCATTTTTTCTACTAGATGAAAACCATTTTACTTTTGTTTCTTTTATAATGATCATTATATACTTCTTATGACACTAGATCAGGATAAGAATGAAAAGACTATTTAAAAAATATGCTTTGTCATTTAGAAAACAATTCTGACATTAAAATCACTGCCAAAAGAATAGCATCTATTAGCTATATTGGCCTACTATATTTTTCCCCATGGGCCTAATTTCAAGTGACTCAAAATTGTTCTCTTATAAAGAAAAGTCGGGGGCTGGGATGTAGCTCAGTGACAAAGCGCTTGCTTAGCAAGTGCAACATCCTGGGTTCAATCCCCAGTACCAAGAGAAGGAGGAGGGGGAGGGGAAGGAGGAGGGGGGGGAGAAGGATGGAAGAAGAAGAAGAAGAGTAGGAGAGCTGAGAGTATGGGAAGCACTAATATACTGAAACAAAAGCAAAATTTAAAGCACCTTCTTAAGTTACATATTTATGAGATTGCAGTTTAAGGCCAGACAGACAGAGCAGTCTGAGATTCTATCACAGTGGAAAAGGCTGGGCATGGTGGCACACACCTACCATCCCAACTACAACAGTAAGCTAAAACTAAGAAGATGACTGTCCATATACATACCCTATCAGGGAGCAAGCTCTTATCAGGGAGGCAAGGCTCAACAGTAGAGTGTCTGACTAGCAAGCACAAAGCCCTGAGTTCAAACCCCATTACCATCAAAAGATGGAGGCAGGATAAGCTAGTGTATTTCATATCATGATAGAAACTTTAGCTGTTTATTCCTTACTTCTTTGTAATACATACAAATTATACTTTGATCTCTGCATAAAAACTATACTTTGATCTCTGGAAAGCATTCAATTCTTTACTTATATATATTAAGAGAAGTCTTCACAAAGGTTTTTAATAGCTAGGAATATAGTTCATAGATCACAATTATTCATTATAGGAAATGAATCTTGATATAACAATGCATGTGTGTGTCCCTTTGTATTACATGAAGTTCAATGAAATTTTATTCTCAAAATCTTCATGTAAACAATGGAATGCATTCCTCTAGCGAAAAAGTACTTTTGTCATGAAATTTAGATGGTATTAGAAATTTTCAGTGTATATAATGTGATAATAATTGTTGATAAAACATTATTTTGAAATTGCAATTCCGTAACAAATTATAGCCTACTATAGGTGTAAATTAATGAAAAGTGAGATATGCTGTTTAGGTTGTAATACAGTGTTCCGTTAAGATACAATGTTTTGGCTGCCAGTAACTTAGTGTGTTGAAAGTGATGTAGGAAGAAAAACATCCCAGTAAGAATCCTAGATGGTGTCTGACATCATCACATAGGTATCTTCCCAAATTACTAGTGCTTGTCCATTCAGTGGCTGAATCTTTAAAAAGAGATTCAGAGGAAAACCACAGTTTATATTAAATGTAAACTATTAGGATGGTTAGGAAATGGTTGTGCTGTACTATTTTTAAATGATGCTCTGTGAAGACAGGGTTTGCTGCTTTCCCTGTTCAGCTCTATCTAGACCCCTGTTCTCTTAATACAGGTCATAGTTACACCCCATATTCCTGCACCTTAGCTCTCTTTCACTGATATGCCACCTCTCCCATCTTTGCCTGGTGCTCTATATGCTGTTTCCTCTGAAGAGACTCCAAAAACAGGTGGTCTTTCCTCCATTGAGTACCGGTAGTCATTTGTATATTGATCATATTCACCTTACTATATTTAATGTTATATATACTATTTATTATATATTATTTTCAGTTGGCCTAACACCATTATTAGTTTGGAAGCTAATTATGGTTAGGAAATAATTTGTACCAGAGTATCCCTCCAGATCCGGTCAAGGTCCAGGCTAACTTAGGGTTAGGGTCTCCAGTTTTCACTGAAATTTTTATGCTTTTGAAAGAAAACTCATTTTTAACCATAAAAAAATATTAAAAACTATTGTAAAGCCAAAGTCTCTTAGGTGTAAGTACTAGAAGAATTTGATCATTGTTCCTAAAACTGAGACCACTAGTACGTAAGTTCAAACTGGTTAAGCTAGTGTCTGTGCACATCTCAACATGGAGTTGGTGCCTTTATGCTGTACGCCTTGAGAGCATCTTCTGTTAGCATGCATTAATTGTGCAGGAGGTGTTGTAGTGTGACATTGCCATACTTGCTTATAATGTGTACCAATCAGACTCACCCCATCTGTCACTCTCTTACCACCATCCACTCTTCTATCCATTCTTTTTTTTTTTTTTTTTGGTCGGTCATGGGGCCTGAACTCAGGGCATGGGTGCTGTCGCTCAGCTCTTCAGCTCAAGGCTAGCGCTCTACCACTTGAGCCACAGCGCCACTTCGGCTTTTTCTGCTTATGTGGTGCTGAGGAATCAAACCCAGGGCCTCATGCATGTGAGGCAAGTGCTCTACCACTGAGCCACCTTCCAAGCCCCAGCCTCCACTCTTCTAAAACAAACCTTCAGCAGGTATTTTCTGTTTTCATACCTGCATTTTTCTTTTGTGATTGTAGTAATCTATTCACTGAACCAGTATCTATCACACTTCTAGCCCATGCCAGTCACATAGTGACATTATTTCGTTGATGGTAACAATGGATAGGAAACAGGAAACCTAAGCATTATATTTTATAGCCAATATTTTATTATTATTTACTTAAGGATTTTAGAAGTACAGTTCAATTTCCTAATCTCTTTTAATCTCCAGCTCTAAAAGGATGGTGCTTTAGTCTTGTTGCCTGTAACTGTCCTTACATTTCCAGCATTAAGCTCATTGATTGGCTGCCATGATTGTTGAGGTTCACTGTCCTTCTGACTGGTCAGTACCTGCTGCTCATTTGTAGGCAGCCCAAGACCAGTGGGTTCAGTATTCTGATTCATCTCCTTGCTAAGAAGAGAATCACTGTTGTATAGTAGTATAATATTATAATATATACTGTAGTATAATTTAAAAATGGGAGTACGATTAAGAGAAAATTGATAGTCGTGAAAGTTTTCTTTATGTGGAATTAGAATATATAGAAAAACAAGTTTTCCAAAGGTCTATTTCCGAGTAAACACCTTAATCCTATATATAACTGAAAAGAAAGAGGGATAATTTCTATTGTTTCTATATGGCAGTAAGAGATAAAGTGTAATTTCAGTGTATTTAGAGCTGAGAGATAAAACATGGGGTAGGGTGTAAGCCCCTGAATTCCATACTGAACACTGGGGGAAAAATATCAAAAACAAAAACACTCTTTACAAAATGATCTTATATAATCAAAGAATCCAGAAGCTCCAAAAGTGAACAAAGATTCCTTGATTGAAGAAATGTGGGTGGGTAGCAATAATTCCTAAAGTATTGCTAAAATACTTTCTGTAATGTTGTTGAAGTTCACTAAAAATGGATCATTTCACAGGATGCAAGTTCAGTATTAAAGGAGGATCATGTTACAGCCTTTGAAGATGAAGGGTCATATCTTACACAAGAACAGCAGGAGGACTCTCTTGTGTGTCAAGGAATTCTTGACTTAGAAGAAACTGATATGCCAGAACCATTGGCTTCTGAAAGCTACCCAGAGTCAGTCTGCGAAGAGGATGTTACCTTGGCTTTGAAAGAGCTTGATGAAAGATGCGAAGAAGAGGAAGCAGATTTCTCTGGACTGTCTAGGTAAAATACCATCTCCAGCACATGTGAAGTTGTGTTTTCCACACCACTCCATCCTAAAGTACCCAAATCTGTTTGTCTATAAGTATACTCTCTTCATTTTAAAAATTAAAATGACTTATAGGTATTACTTTAATGACTTTGACAATTTTGTTTGTAAAACTAAAAATGTGTTATTTATAAAATCATTTTTGTGTGTGTGCTGTCCTGGGGCTTGAACACAGGGCCTGGTACCGCCCCTGTACCTTTTTGCTCAAGGCTATTACTCTACCACTTGAGCCACTACCAGATTTCTGGTGGTTAATTGGAGGTCAGAGTCTCATGGACTTTTCCTGCCTGGACTGGCTTTAAACCACAATCCTCAGATCTCAGCCTCCTGAGAAGCTAGGATTACAGGCATGAGCCCCCAGCTCATGCACCAGTGTGTGGTGTATGATTTTTATAAAGCCGTATGAAGCTGTCTTATAATGGGCATCATGCAATTTTAAGACCCTAGCACATTTCTTCATCTTCAGGACTTCAAATCAGGGTATCAACCCAAGCTTCCTCACTGTTTTATTTTTCACGTAGTGCCTGACTGCAGTGATCATAAACTCAGCGGAAATGAAGAGTCTTAGGTATCATTTTATCTACCTTACTGCTAAGACTCAATGAGTACTTAAATAAAGTATAACGGAGCTCTCACTGTGTGCTGTGACAAATAGTTTTGGCCTTGCATCTACAGTCTTTGGTTCAAATTCTGACTCAGATATTTCCTACCCAGTAACTCACGTACATTGTTTAACTCCACTACACATTTTGTTTCCTCATTTGCAAAATCAAGATAGAAATACAATTACATTACAACCTTCTTAAAGTTGTGAAGTTTGAATTAAATAGACTCCTTGATGTAGAAGTACACAATCAAAATTCTTCAGTATTATTATCATTGATGGGAGGCTCAAGACTCTAGGTTTTCCGAAAAACAAACTAAAGCAAAATAAAGAAGGTGATAGATGTAGTTCAAGTAGTACCGTACCTGCCTAGCAAGTTGAGGGCCCTGTGTTCAAAGACCATACCTTTAAAAAAAAAGTGTCTAAAGTTGGCCACTTAAAATGGAAGCAGTATAATCTGTGTCATTAAAGAACAGCAGCATATTATAAGTCGTTGGTTCTTTTCATCTACTTGAAATGAAGAGTTCTATTTCTAAAGATGTTAATTTTGCTTGTTACATTTGCTTCTTCATGCTTCCTTATAAAGTTTAGTGTGCGTGTGTGCGTGCGTGCGTGCGTGCGTGCGTGTGTGTGTGTGTGTGTGTGTGTGTGTGTGTGTGTGGCTTGGCCTGGCCTGTTCTTGTAAGACAGTTTGACAATTGCTATGCTATTTATTAGCAGTCAAGACGAGGATGAGCAGGACGGCTTTCCAGAAGTGCAGACATCACCTCTGCCCTCGCCCTTTCTTTCTGCCATCATTGCGGCTTTTCAGCCCGTGGCCTGTGATGATGAAGAGGAAGCCTGGCGCTGCCACGTCAATCAGATGCTGTCAGACACCGATGGGTCCTGCGCAGTGTTCACTTTTCATGTGTTTTCAAGGCTGTTTCAGGTCAGTGAAGTTTAAGGTTTCAGAATTCACATCAGAATTACCTGACAGAGTCGCTCATGCCTGGAACCTCACTACTTGTGAGGACAATAGCAAGGGATCAAGGTTTGTTGTTAACCCCAGCCAAAGTTTGCGAGACCCCTTCTCAACTTACAGATAAGCACAGCAGTGTGTGCCTGTCACCATAGCTTTGTAGAAGGCCAAATTTAAGAAGATCTGGACTCCATACCAGCCCAGGGAAAAAGCCATGAGATTCGTCTCAGTGGAAAAAGCTGGGGGGAAGGGGATAGAGGGTGGCTTGCACCTGTCATCTCAGCTACAATGGGAAACGTAATAGGTGGCTAACAATCCATGCCTGGGCAGCTGTCTCAAAATTAGTCAGTATAACTGGGCACCGGTAACTAATGCCTGTAATCCTAGCTACTCAGGAAGCTGAGGTCTGAGGGTCACAATTCAAAGCCAGCCCAGGCAGGAAAGTCCATGAAACTCTTAACTCCAATTAACCACCAAAAAGCCAGAAGTGGAGCTGTGGCTCCAGAGGTACGCCACTCACCTTGCGCAAAATAGGTACAGCGCCCAGGTCCTAGGTCAAACCCCAAGAGAGAGGGAGAGGGAGGGAGGGAGAGAGAGAGAGAGAGAGAGAGAGACACACACACACACAGAGAAATGTGTCTCGGCAAGCACAGGCCTGTCCCCTATTCTGTTTTGTCCCCGCAAAATAGAATTACCTGATAAAGTTACAGGGTTTTTTTTCCTACTATTTAGATGGATAATCTTAATGAATATTACTTTCTAAGCTAGTAGTAGTATTGAAATTGACAGAATGTTCTCATAATACTGGAATATTATGTAATTAATAAGACAATTGGAATAAAACCTCAATGCAACACCTGATGAGTTTTTTCTGCAGTGCTACCATTGCACAAACCCAGAAACCAAAGGCATAGTTCTGATAAGTAGGAGTTAAATGAATTGTCACTTCCATCACTGTGTGGACGGAGCATGAAGCTGCTATGGTTCCTTTCAGGCTAAAGCAATAAGAGCTCTCGTGTATTGAGTACTTACTGAATGCTCTGCACTTGCTCAGTGCTCTTCATTAAGTGTTCTCTATGGAGTGTGGGTACTAATTCAGCATTCTGTAACTAGGAACTTACAGCACAAAGAAATGCCACCATGTAAGCTCAATTACCTACCACCTTTCCACCTTACCTATGTGTACTGCCCACCATGGAAGACCCAGCTATATACATGTGCTCACTGAAGTTTCCCAACCACTGCAGCCTCCAGTGTGCCCTCCAGGATGATCTTTAGTGCTCACTTAAGGAATATTTACTTAATACTGTGCTGACTGCATTACTGCTTGGTTTTCTGTTTGCATTCTTTTCTTTACAGTGGTTGTGTTTCTCAATGCTTAAATCTGTGCCTTAAGATTTCCTTCCTTCCTTTCTTCCTTCCTTCCTTTCTTCCACCCCTCCATCCTCCCCTCCATCATTCATTCCCTCTCTATACCCCAGTGCCATCTAACAGCACTATACATACATATGTAGGTACGCATTAACTATCTGCAGTAACTATACAATGGCTATCCTAGTCTCACAAGTACTATGAGTCGATCACTGCCTAGTAGCTTATGTGAATAAATACTCTTGGATTCTGGGAAGATACAACCCTTAATTCCTTGTAATGACTTAACACAGATGGCAGCTTATACCATGATCATGAAGTATACTTGTAAGTTTCTTTCAGGTAGAATTTGACTTTAGAAGAGCAAATTCTCCACATGCAAGGGCTTGGCTTCCAGAGATGAGCAGCATACAAGTCCCTCTGTCTCGGGGAAGTGAATAGCCTGTGACTTTTTTTCCCCAGTACTATTGTTTTCATCATTTTTAGAAATTAACATATTTCCTAAAGAAATATGTAAAACATGTATTTATAGGTCAGTTATAGAATTCCGCATATTATTACAAAAAGTTAAAAAAGTATTCCATTTGTGAATTATCCTGTATTTAACAGTGAAAAGCCTTTTTATGATATTAAGCATCACACGCTTTCCCCCACAGACAATTCAGAGGAAGTTTGGAGAGATAACTAATGAGGCAGTCGGGTTTCTGGGTGAGAGTCTGCAGCGCATTGGTACCAAATTTAAAAGTTCCTTGGACGTGATGATGATGTGTTCCGAGTGTCCGACGGTCTTTGTGGATGCTGAAACGGTAAGTGTTCACCTGCAGCCTTGTTAGGAAGACAAAGTTGGAATGGCAGCCTTCAGTTAAGTTTTCTTTAAGCAGAATTCCAAAAGTTAAAGTGTCAAGGTTTATATTTTCAACTTGATAATACATATCTGGCAACATGCTGTTCCAGATTACTAGATGGTGAGCCCCAGAACTCTGCTTCTGACCATCCCTGCCCTCACCCTGGCTCCACAGATTTCCCGTGATCAAGCAGGAAAGTCATGCTGTACAGACATCTCCTTTCCTGATTCTTGAATAAAAATGGATAGGAGATGAATAGGCCTCCCCATGATAGAGTGCCTTGATCGTCTCTGTCTTTTGGCTAAGCACATTTGTAGATTATATAGCTGTGTACACAGAGAACTGGGGCTTAAAAATCTTCAGGGATGGTGCCTTGGGGGTGTAGATCGAGTGTCTGTGCCAAAATGGGACAGTGTGGTAAGGGACAACCAACTGACAGCTATTCTATGACCCAGAAATTGTCATTCTCATGGCTGTGATCATAGTGTAATGTGGATCAACTTGTGTCTGGTTTGACAGCTGATGTCATGTGATTTGCTAGAAACACTCAAGTTCAGTGTTTTAGAGCTTCAAGAACACCTGGATACCTACAATGCCAAAAGAGAAGCAGCTGAACAGGTTAGTCATCTTTTACAGTGTGAAAAGGGTAGTTTACTTTCGATGCTATAAGTATTTCCCTGGCCATAGAATAACCTGGGCAGAAAAGGCCCTCTTAGCACTGGTCTCAGGCTTGTGCTGGGGATAGGGTCTGGAAACTCTCTTCCCTGTTCAGTAAATCCATCTCTGGTTTTGAGAAATTGGCCTTATAAGAGCCTAAGAAGAGATCCTGGAAGACCAAAGCTTTATAAAAAGCTTGTGTGTGGAGACTGATAGCCGCTGTCAACGTTGCAAGCAGGGAAATAGATACAGTATTTGCCAAATGCAGTACAGAATCGTGGTCTAGAATGTCTCCATGCTGATAGTACTCCTATCTTCCCCCATAATGTGTGAATGTGTGTAGGCAAGCAAAGTGCATAGCTAAGTTACAGATGCTACTTGCTAAGAAATGCTTCTTTTATTCCAGTGAAAACTAGCCTCCTAGCATGAATCTGGTATATTTTCAAGTGGCAAGTACAAAAATACAAAGAAAATATGATTCTCCTTTTCAGACAAACTGTCTACCATAGGCATTTTTGTTTTAAAATAGATGAGTGTTCACTAAGTATGAAAAATGAAGTTTAAAATCTGATTCTTCTAAATATTACAGATAGGAATATAAGATATAAGTACTAACTAGAAATATGAATATAAACATCTGAAATGCAAAATAGTTCAAAATATGAAACTTTTTAATGATCAGCATAGAATTTCAAGTAGAAAAATGTCATGAAATGTAGTCAAATATAATCAAAAAAGGAGCATATTTAAAAAAAAAAATGAGGGCCAGGGCAGAGTAACTGCCTGGCAAGCCCAAGACTGAGTTCAAATTCCTGTATTGCCCACCCCCCAAAATGTATAAGAAAATGATTATCACAGATATGTAAATTAAGAGTAAGAAATGATGGTAAATGCCAAACAACCACACTTATAATCCTAGCTATTCAAAAACAAAGCTGACATCAGACCACATTTTGAGGCTAGCCTCGGCAAAAAGTTGAGAACACCTCCCCACACACCCATTTTAACCAATGAAACAACCAGACTATTCAGGAAGCAAAACAGAAGAGTCCGTTTTGTAGTCCAGGATTATAGTCCTCTGGTGAAAATAATGAAAATTAAAAGGGCTGCAGGTGTGGCTCAAGTAGTAGTTTGCTTATCAAGTGGAACCCCAGTACTTCCTGCCTTTCCCCATCCCTCCCCCAAAAGACTACCAAATAAGAACAGGACCAAGACTCAGTAAAGATGTAATTTTTTTTTCTCCTAAAATAATCTGTAGATATAATGTGATCTGATTCAAAATTTGACCATTTATGGAAATTCCTAGTCTAATTCTAAAATTTACGTAATACAAACAGCTAATAATAGTGCACACAATTTTCTTAGACATAGTTCAGCAAACCCCCAGATCATTTCTACCCCACTGCTTATTTTTGTAAATAAATAAAGTTTTTCTGGGACACAGCCATCTCATGTGCTTGCCATTTGCATATTACAAGACTTGAGTATCTGCAGCACAGACAGTATAGTTTATAAAACCTAAAATATTTACTATTCTGCTTTATAGAGAGGTTTTCCACACTTGCCCATGAAGAATGACAACGGAGTTTGAACTTAGACTTGTACCCAATAACTTATTTCACACCTCAAACAGTGCCAAAGACCAGTGGAATATAATAGACAATCCATACAATCCATTAAGAGATCACACAATGTAATCACAGAATTAAAACAAAAGTACTATTGTAGTGAAGTAGAAAATAATGTTCTCCACAAATTAGGTTTGTATGGGAGATTCTTTCCCGCGGCACCATCTTCCTATTTCTTGCCCTATCTATTCTTCTTTTCCCTACTTTTTCTTTCTCCTTTCTCCTTTTCTGCCAATCACATACTTGCATGCAGCTTTCTCATTCTACTAGTTTCTCCTTTTTTGATGGTACTAGGGATTAAACTTAGAGCCTTGTGCCATACCACACAAGTGCCTTACTGTTGAGGTACATACTCAGCCCCTACTAGTATTTTTGTTATATATTCTTTGATGTTTCTCTCGCGCGCATAGTGAGAATAGAAATCTCTAGGATTTGTTGTTATTGCTTTGAGCCTGTCCTATCTCACAATCTTTGATTAGTGTGTTTTTCTAGATACAGTAGGAAACTATGGCTACAAACTTGAGTCCCTTTAGCCTCTGTGCCTAGAGACATGTGTAGAAAGACCCCTAGAATCAGCAGTGGACAAATGCAGAGTTCACTTGAGGACCCACCTCTGATGCCCTGGTCCTGGCTGGTAGTTCTCAGTGAGTGTAATTTTCCTTGGAGCACTGAGCTTACACAAGCCTCTCTACCATACCCAGAGCAGAGCTTCCTCACTAGATAAATATGGACCTTCATTTGAGCTTGAGCAAAGAAAACAGGACAGATCGATTAGGATAGGGACTGAGGCTGCATGCTGTTGTCTAACATGCACTATGAAAGGTGTGGACCTGCCCTTTGCAGGCCAGTGTTTGGCTATGGAACTGTTATGGTTTAAGCTTCTCTTTAACAGGTTAACAATTGGAAATAAGTACCGTAAAGCCGGGCACTGGTGGCTCACACCCGTAATCCTAGCTACACAGGGGTCTGAGGTCTGAGGATCACGGTTCAAAGCTAGCCCAGGTAGTAGAGTCCATGAGACTCTTATCTCCAATTAACCACAGGAAAAGCTGAAGTGGAAGTATGTGTGGCTCAAAGTGGTAGAGTGTTAGCCTTAAGCAAAAAAGCTCAGGGACAGCACCTAGGCCCTGAGTTCAATCCCACAGCCAACAAATAAACAATAATTACATTGAATAGTGCTGAAATCAATATGTATGTGATATAAAAATTTATTTAGTACAATTAAGTCATTAAAAAATCAACTGAAATTATTTCCTCCAAGTTTATTGGTACTCTTGGGCAAATTGAACTACCATAATGATAATTCACTATACAAACATTTTAATCTTGTGTATGAATAGAGATAAATTCAACGATCCATGGTAGATGTCAAGTGAATTCTGCCAATGTTAAGAAATCTGCTGATAGCTTTTGACAGTGTCTGCCACTGGCCACATCTCACCCGAAAAGCTTAACATGTTTTTCTCCAGAGATGCTGTCAAGAAAATAGCCCAAGGGGCCAGCACAGTCTGAGTGACTGGGATAAAAGGAACAGAAGGTCAAAGAGATGGTTCTTGAAATAACTGAAATGTCTGGTTTTAATTCTTTCCATACGCTACGACTGAGAATTTTAAATGTCTAATATAAAAACATTTTCAGATGTGCTGTGTAATGTAGCTATTATATAACCCCTCCCAAAAAAACCTAGGACATCAGAAGAAATGACAATCAAAACTTAGGAGCTTAACTTGAAGGCTCTTCGGTTTTACTTCAGGTTAGAAATTCTGTGATTCCAGCGTTCTTTTCTGCTCTGCCACAGTGCTATTCTTTTGTTTTTATTTAACAAAAGAAAATGTACTTAAATATCAACTTCAAGAATAATCCCTGGAGAAGGAAAAACAGTATTTGGTTTCTGCATCCACTATTCTTTAGAAATAGCATTTATCATTTGTTGTCATCTAAAAAGAAGTAAAAGATGTAAGTGGATTTTGGTTTTTGTTTCACTAATTAAAACTGACAGCAGTCTTCTGAGAATTACACTACTGATAAGCAAATAGAACCAGTCAGTTTAAGTTGCCTTTTTAAATTGACCAGAGGGGAAGAAAATCTGATCTCTTCTTACATTAGGAAAAGGTCAGGAATAGATTGTGGAGATTTCTAATAAAATCTGCAAACAAAAAGCTTTTCTTACCTAGAAGACTGTTTATAATAATTTTCATTACTAAACTCACAGTAGTGCATATCTTGTTATTGACTTCTTATCGTGCCCTTATTTGTTCTGTGAGGGGAATGAAAGTGTTCTATCCACAAACACACCTAGAGCTTCAAGTCATTTTAACTTTGTAGTTTGGTTATGGATGGCTTCATTGTGTATTACACAATTACTGTATTAAAATTTGCTGTTACTTACTTCTTCAGTGGTTAGACAATTGTAAAAGGACATTTGGTGCCAAAGAAGACATATATAGGATAAACCCAGATGCACAGGTAAGTCTCTTGTCCTTGCTTTTAATGTATTACTATGCCAGGTAGAACAGTGTATGTGTTCAGATGTTCTTACTTGGTATTCCTAGAAACAGAGAATATTGCAAACCTTTTCATATTGCTTATCAGAACAATCTTTGTAAAAATTAGGTTCAATGAAATATTAGTTTAGTAATGAAAAATTCACTTTTATAAAAATGAACCACCAGCTTGTGACGGAAGCTTAATAACATGCAGCAGATAACCCTGCAGGATATCTGGGCCGTTGGCTAGAATTTAGATGCATCAGCTCTTAGAGCAAGAAATTTCTTCTGCAGTAGTGTTCTGTATATGTCAGAAAGCAAACCTATGTCTATGTGTCCAAATTAGTGAAATTCTGATTGAATAAATTTATTTTTCTCTGGTATGAAGTCCATGAAAATATCAGCGATGTATTTCTGATGCTGTTGGGTTTTTTGTTGTTGTTGTTGTTGTTGTTTGTTTTTGTTTTTGCCTGTTCTGGGGCTTGAACTCAGGACCTGGGCACTGTCTCTGAGCTTCTTTTGCTCAAGGCTAGCACTCTACCACTTAAGCCACAGCGCCACTTCCAGCTCTTTCTTTTTATGTGATACTGAGGAATCAAACCCAGGGCTTCATGCATGCTAGGCAAGCACTCTACCATTGAGCCACATGCCCAGTCCAGCAATGTATTTCTTAAGGAAAGATGGGCAAGAATATTTTCAAGATCTTCTAGCCATGCTAATGGGAGCAACTTCATTTGGGGAAATGCATTTATGGACTGAACAGTCCCCACAATTAAGAAGTTACATGGTGTGGATTTCTAATCTCTACAAAAGCTATTATACTATGATAGTAAAATGTAAAGTTTTAGAAAAATGAAATGTTGAGAAGAACCAGTTTGGTTTACGATACTCTTTCCAGCACTGCGAATAGGCATTTTACAGTCATCATCACTGTCCTTACAATTCAAGCAAGCAGGTTCTCCCTTTAGTCATTCCTGTTTTGGAACTGAGGCACAGAGAAGTTAATTTATCTAAATTTTGAAATAGTGGGACCAGGATTCAAACCAAGGCAAAACTGGGTCCAAGTTCTAAACTAGGTTAGAGGGAAAAACCTATACTAGGTAGGTTAGGTAAACTAGGTTAGGGGGAAAAACCTATACTAGGTAGGTAAGGAAAAATGAGATGATAGGGAGTTAGCCCTAGCCCAGAATTAGACTGGAAGGGCATGGTGGCCAGTGTTTAAATGACTCTCTTGTTAACTTTTCCCTTATAAATTAGATGAATATGCAAAGGGGTTGCTTTCCCTTTCTTGAAGATTCTAGGTCAGGTAGCATAGCTTCAGATTTCCTTCTAAGTGAAAAACTATAAGCTGTTTATGTAAGTCTTTGATTTATATTTTCCCTCACTTTTCATGTTCAGTGCTGTGTGCATGGAAGGTCCTTTTTACATGACCTTCTCTGCTGTCATTGTATATTAGTAATTGTGGGCATAATCAATAAATGTTTATTAACTAAAATGATGTAACATATACGTGCAAATTTCAACATGCTGAAAAGCAGCAGTTTAAACTGCGCATGTGTATATTCATCCTCAGAGATGCCCGTTAGCGTGTTTGCCTGGTGTGGTAGTTGAGAGGACATCGGCAGTTGTCATTCTCATGAGCTTCCATGCATTTCACAGCACAGGCTTTGGTTAGATAATGGTAGAGCTTGTTCCATTTATGCTAAAAGAAATGGGACGTTTTAGTTCAAATTCAAAATTCCACATGAAGCCGGCGCTGGTGGCTCACGCCTGTAATCCTAGCTACTCAGAAGGCTGAGATCTGAGGATCGCGGTTCAAAGCCAGCCCCGGCAGGAGAGACCGTGAGACTCCTATCTCCAATAAACCACCAGAAAACCGGAAGTGGCGCTGTAGCTCAAGTGGTAGAGCGCTCGCCTTGAGCTGAAGAGCTGAGGGACAGCACCCAAGCCCAGAGTTCAAGCCCCACCACCAACAAAAAAAAAAAAAAAAAGATACAAAATTCCACATGAAATAAACTACAGAAATCCAAGCCTCAGAAGCAAAACCTTATGCTAATGTTTACTCAAAGACTATCCTGGTGAGTCATGTGGAGCTGAGTTCACCTTTGCTTAGCAAATCCCTTCTAAATTGTAAGAATAAATGTTATATCAACAGTCCTTCGGAACAGGCTTACGGATGACTTCTAGAAGCTATATTTACATGATAGAAATTCCTGTTTTAATGAGGCTTGATCCAAGTTGCTGTAGATAATTTAATGTGGTAACTTTTAAGATAATCCATAAATGAAGACTTTTCACTATGAGTTTTACATACATTACATCCTTTTATTAAAACCTAGTTAGGTCAAATTTCTGATACTAGATGACATTTAGAGTACACTGTAAAACGTATCTGCTCGCGATATTCTGCCCCGTGGCTCAGCATAAGTAAGGCCACCTTGGATCAATTAGACATTGAAGGGTAGAAAGTCTAGAATCTTCTCATGGTAAGTATTACTCTGTAAGATTGTAAGCGGTTCTTTATTGAAAAGATAATGGTGTCTCATTCACTTTCACCAGTTTTCCACATTACTAATGAAAATTTTCTTAGAGTTGAGTCTTGTCTGAGGGTTTTTATTGTTGCTTACCAGAAAAATTAAACTATTTGGATAGTAAACACTTTGAATAGCCAAAATTCCCAAGACCATATTAGTTGTTTTACTGTATGTAACTTTTACACAGAAACAAACCATGGCCTAGATTTGAGTTATTTGAGAGTTAGGAGGGGGAAAAAATGCCACCCTGAATTGTTGCAATAAAATCTAGAAAACTGTATTTTTGAAATAACATTTTTGTTGGGGTATAAATATATGTTCTCCATTTTACCTGAGACATCTGTGACCCTAGTGAAAATTTCTTACACTAATTCTTGGTCTTTTTTCTTTCTTTGTATTTTTGTGACCCGATCACCTTCTTGCTTAGCAAATGGAAATTCTAGCAGTAAGTGACCTGTCTTGATTTATGGACTCCTTATCCCTGCCAGACAAACTGGTTTTCATCTGCCATTTGTCCTTCTGTGACCTTGTCATAGACTACTTTAAAAGTAGTATGTGCTTCAGTTTGCATATCCCTAATCCATGAAATGTTCTATAAAATAAATGAAATTTGGTTTTACCATTTATATATATATATATATATATATATATATATATAAATACAAATGTACAACTAGCAGGCACCTTTTTCCAAATATAACTAACATATCTCCTTCCAGTTTTAAAAACCAATTCAATTTCATACTCTCACTTAAATGAGGTTGCCAAGTGGTTTTCCTTAGAAAAATTACTTCATTTTTGGAAGTGGCGCTGTGGTTCAAGTGGTAGAGCGCAAGCCTTGAGCTGAAGAGCTGAGGGACAGCGCCCAGGCCCAGAGTTCAATTCAAGCCCCACAATCCAAAAAAAAAAAGACTTCATTTTTAAAGATAGACACTTCTTTAGGTTAAGAGGTGGCCCAGTTCCCCTTTTCTTTATCAGTATCCTGTTGGTAGATGCAGTGGGACCACTACTAACTACGCATCTGTAAATTGAGAATTTATCCTTCTTAAAGCATCTTATAGATTGCCTTCTGACACATTCTATGTGTCCAGAGTGAAAAACGTGCTTTATACTAAAAAGGAATATGTTACCAAAGAGGCTTGTTTTATTTAAATGCCAGCCCTCAAAGCATCTTTTTTTATCTACCCTTCATAAGCTTCACAACATATTAACTTGCTTACTACAGAAAAATCCCAAGACAATGTTAATATGATTATAATTTTTAGCCACATACTACAGTACACCCAAATTAAGTGTAATGTAATTTATTTGTAGGAACTGGAACTCTGCAGAAGGTTATACAAACTGCATTTCCAACTGCTGCTTCTGTTCCAGGCCTATTGTAAACTCATCAACCAAGTAAATACAGTAAAAAATGAAGCAGAGGTAAGTACTCTGCGGACATTTATTCCTTCCTAGAATAGTCAGTCACTTACCTTGAATTAAAGAATGATATATATATGGATTTTTTTTAATGTGCACTGTCAGGTTGTACTAGAAAGACCACTAATACTAGTCATCTTCACAGGCTCAAGATAAAAAGGTTTCGGTAACAGAAATGCGTCAAAATAGTCATGGAGATAGGAGAGCAGGGATGGTAGGGGAAAAACAAAGGAGGAGGCAACAATGCTTAATAAGAAATGTACTCCTGGGGCTGGGAAGGTGGCTCAGTGGTAGAGCACTTGCCTTGCATGCATGAGGCCCTGGGTTCGATTCCTCAGTACCACATAAGCAAAGAAGAAAAGAGCCGGAAGTGGCACTGTGGTGGCTCAAGTGGTAGAGTGCTAGCCTTGAGCCGAAGAGCTGAGGGACAGCACTCAGGCCCAGAGTTCAGGACCCATGACCGGACCCAAAAAAGAAATGTACTCATTACCTTACTCATGTAATTGTAACTCCTCTGTATGGTATTTTCACAATAAAAAACTTATTTAAAAAAAAGTCAAGTAAAATACATCAGTTCAATAGACATGAAATTAGTTTAAATTATAATCTAGTTATATTTAATTTTATGGCTGCATATAAGATTCAAGATGATAAAAACACTTGAAAACCATAAATGTGTAGGCACAGAGATAACTCTCACCGGGAAAATGAATTTGTAAACAAGAAACTATATGTACATATTTGTGCTTATAAAGCATCCTGATTAAATAACTTCAGACATCTTGATTCTCCCTAATAAATGAGTCATCATTATCTTAAATGAATATATAATCATGTGTTGGGACAATATAAACATTTTTATTTGTCAAAAATAGTTAAGCTCAGTGTAGTGGTGAATGCCTCTAATTATTGGAAGGCGAAGGGCAGGATTTCAAACTGGAGGGCAGCAGGGCTACCAAGTGAGACGCTGCTAAAAAATAAAAAAGTAAAGCCTGGCATTTGGAACATTTAACATTGGAAATAAACCCCTCACAGCCACTTACAAATGCTCCAACATTCCTAAAGCTTGGAACTGATCCTGGGGGGGGGGGGTTGTATCTGTTCTAGGTCATCAACATGTCAGAGGAGCTTGCCCACCTAGAGAGCATCCTCAAGGAAGCAGAGGCTGCTTCAGAAAACGAAGAAATTGACATTTCCAAGGCTGTACAAACCACCACAGAAACTGCCATTCATTCTCTGATTGAAACTCTGAAAAATAAGGAATTTGTATCAGCCGTAGCACAAGTCAAAGCATTCAGGTAAAATGTGCAGGGGTTTAAAGACGCCCTTCTCTCACCAGACAAGCTTAGGTTTTGGTCTTTTATTTCATGTTTCAATGAGCCATGACTCTGTGAGAGGAAACTTGACCTTGTTAAAATTTTTTTTTTTTTTAGCCAGCAGGTATTACTTTGAGTAATATTTGCTCAGATACCTATTTTATCTGTGACTAATGGCTTTCACGAACGGTGGTCTGTTTTAGGACTCTCTGGCCCAATGACATCTTTGGCAGCTGCGAGGATGACCCAGTGCAGACGCTGTTGCACATCTACTTCCACCATCAGACGCTGGGCCAGACGGGCAGCTTCGCAGTCATAGGCTCCAACCTTGACATGTCGGAAGCCAACTACAAACTGATGGAACTCAACCTGGAGATAAGAGAGTCTCTGCGCATGGTGCAATCATACCAACCGCTAGCACAGGCCAAATCGATTGGGAATATGGTGAGCACTGGATTCTGAGAAGCTTCAGGCATTGTGGAGAGAAACTGAAGATTATTAAGATTATTAACCAAGCACCTTTTATGAACCCTTGCAACTCACTGATAAACTTTTCTGGCAGCACCTACAATTAAAGTGTAACTAATAATAAACTAGCAAAAGCAAACATCTGAAGAAAGAAAAAAACTGTAATTGTTTTAACAGGCTGCCAATACCTCCCATAATAACTGTATAAAGAAGAAAATTTTAAAAATACGTTATCCTATATGAAAAGAAAAGGGCTAAAAGTGATGCATACAAATACATTACTTTCTGGAGAAAGCAAAGAATTCCAAGAATGTTTGCAATAAAGGCCTCTGATACTGGGACATCAGAACAGGCAAAATGAGGCTGAAGTCACAGCTGACGCTTTTGAGCAGATGACCTGCAAAGCTGCTTGGATTCACCCACATAATCTACAGTTAGTGCTTGATCATCTACATGAACATCCAGTCACGTGGATACACACAGACTTATTTGCAGAAACCATTGAGTTCTTTCAATTTATGGGATAAGGGTTTGGATTGTTTGTGTGTTGGGGGAGGGGGGGTTGATCTGTGTAAGGAATTATGTGTGTGTGAGTGGGGATGTATGGGTATTTTCAAGGTGTGGATGTCTGGTGGTGATATCTAAGAGCATGCCTAAAAGAGCACTGCAAGATTATTTTTGAAGAAATTTTATTTTATTAGCTCTAACTCTTCATAGTGTGTAAATGTTAGAACATTTTAATAATATTTTAAATCTGGGCTTTCCCAGTATTTCAAAAAGAAATAATATATCTGTTAAGGTTATTGGAATGCTGCTCAGTTCTCTGATCAGTGCTTATGTTACGATTGTTGATAACTAACCAAAGTAGATGCCTGCAGAGACTTTAAAATGTAAAAATAAAGATGTATGCTGCCCGTCAGCGATTCTCATTAGAAAAGTTAACTTATTTTACTCCATAATTATTATAGAAACTGTATAGACTAAAACCAGTATTTTCTTGTACATTTGTGCCATGCACTGTTACACAAGAGTAGGTGTACAAGGCTAAAGGAAGAATTGCGGTCATTTATGGTAGACCACCGGGCTTGCAGGCCATGAAGTCTATTGAATCCAAAAGAAGAGATGCAAATGCGTTTTCCTGCGATTCTTCTGGACTCACATGCTTCATGCTAAAGGAACCTGGGGGCTCGGGAAACAGAAAGGAAGCCTGAAGACTGACTACCAAAACTCGCAATATACTTACCCACTGAGTCTGTAGCATAACATGAACTGGATTCTCTGTCCTTTTTTTAAAATAGCATTTTGTAAAAGAAATGAATGTAGTCCCACGACTCCTGATTTGAAAGGAACACCTTATATTTTTTATATGCATCTCTTATCCACTGTGACTTTCTTTTAAACTGGACTCTGTGGTTGCAGAGTTTGGAATGCAGAAATGAAATGCTTAGCTTTGCCTTTCTTGGGGGCGTGGACCCTGCCAGAAATGTAATTATGCTCAAGTGCATTAATTGAAGGCACTGTGCACGCCGTTGGACTGCTGACCATAGTTATGTTCCCTACTGGTCACGGCACATTCATAATCACTGTATTTTTTTGACCCTGATAAAAAAATATTTTAATGGTGTTCTGGTACTGTAAATGGTGTCCTTTAAATTATTTAATAACTTTTGGGTATGGGGCAGGCAGAGAGGGATGGTGTCCAGAGACACAACCACACTTTACACCCTATCTTACTCTCCCCTATCTTCTTACCCTGCCTACATCCTTTTTGTTAAAAATAAAAAAAAGCATTGCGTATCTTGGCTTATGTGGCATTTTTTAAAAGATTAAAAGCATGCAGCATTTAGAAACTTTACAAATACTACCTAATCAAGTTTTATTGTTCCTTAAAGAAAAGGAATAAACCACCAGGTGTCAGGGCTCACGCCTGTAATCCTTGCATCTCAGAAGGCTGAGATGTGAGGATCATGGTTCAAAGCCAGCCCAGGCAGGAAAGTCCCTGTGAGACTCTTACCTCAAATTAACCACTCAAAAACTGGAAGTGGTACTGTGGCTAAAGTGGTAGAGCACTAGCCTTGAGCACAAAGAGGCTCAGGGACAGCGCCCAGACCCTGGTCAAGCCCTACAACTGACACACACACAAGGACTCAACCAGGTATGGTGGCTCATAGTTTGAAGCCAGCCTGAGCAGAGAAATCTGAGAGATTCTTCAGTTATCCAGCAAAAAAGCCAAAATGGGCTATGATACAAGTGGTAGAGCATCAGTCTTGAGTGAAAAGGCTTGTAAGCAAGAAGAGTTTGAGGCCCTGAGTTCAAGCCACAGTGCCAGCACCAAAAAAGAGACTCATGAGACAGACCCTTCAAATAGTGGCTTTTTGAATTTATAGACCACGAATTTACTAATATAACAAAAACGAATACACTTGCAAGATACAAATTCATTAGGCTGCCTTTTGTTACAATTGGATCTTCCCCATCTATTGTTCCTCTGAATCTGAAGTTTTGCCCAATGTTTAACTTATTACTTAAAGCCTAGTTTTGCCACACACAACTTTTTAAATAAGTTCACTAAACTTATTTCTAGAGAGTAAATGAAATAGCAAAGGAAGAGATAAAGGACTTTTGCACAATTTAGAAGATAGTTTCTATTATCTACAACTTACCTTTAATTGAAGAAATACTGAAAATACTCATCATAACCAGAAGAGCTCCCTGCTCATGTCACACCAACACCATCTCCATGAAAGAAAGTAGCTGAGCGCCCTTGGCTCAGGTTTATAATCTAATCCTAGCTACTCAGGAGGCTGGGATCTGAGGACAGCCATTCAAAGCTAGCCTGGGCAGGAAAGTCCACGACACTATCTCCAATTAACAATCAGAAAACCGGAAGTGGCTCTGGGGCTCAAATAGTGGAGTGCTCACCTTGAGCTGAAGAGCTCAGGGACAGCACTGAGGCCCAGAGTTCAAGCTCCACAACCAACAAAGAAAAAGAAATTACAGCGGCTGGGAAGGTGGCTCAGTGGTAGAGCGCTTGCTTTGTATGCATGAGGGCCCTGGGTTCAATTCCTAACCACCATATCAGCAGAAAAAGCCAGAAGTGGTGCTGTGGCACAAGTGGTAGAGTGCTAGCCTTGAGCTGAAGAGCTGAGGGACAGAGCCCAGGCCCAGAGTTCAAGCCCCATGACCAACAATAACAACAAAAAATTGCACCAGATTTATATTCTAGAGAAAATGTAGGAAATAAGAAAATTGTCATCCCTTCCCTTGGCACCAGGGAGAATATTTCAGAGTCTAGCCTAATGTTTTTAAAAATCTCCTCCTATGTAAACTGTGGACTATGTGTATGGGCAGAGTCTTCTTGTTAGGATGTTGCTGTCATAACTCAGGAGCAAAAGATGTTTTGATTTGATACTACTTTGGTAACTAAATACCTACTCACCCTAACTAAAACAGTCTGAGCCTTGTTTTCCTCAGTAACACAGAACTAGTTGCCTTGTTAGACAAAGCAGCAAAAAAAAAATTAAAGACTAATGTAACTTCCCATCTTAATAGAATGTCTTAAAAACCTACTTGCAGCTGGGCGTTGGTGGCCTGTAATTCTAGCTACTCAGGAGGCTGAGATCTGAGGATTGCGGTTTGAAGCCAGTCCAGCCAGGAAAGGCCTTGAGACTCTATCTAGTTAACCACCTAAGAACCAGAAGTGGAGCTGTGGCTCAAAGTGGAAGAGTGCTAGCCTTGAGCAAAAAAATGCTCAGGAACAGCACCCAGGGCCCTGAATTCAAACCCCACTACCCACCATACATTATATATATACATATACATATATATGATATATATAATATATAAATGCAGCAAGTCTCTAAACAGAACAAGTGAAAACACCTGCTTTTATGCACATCTCCCAATTTATCTAGACCCTGAAAGTTAGCTTGTCTATTTGGGGTGGGGGGGGTTGGTCATGGGGCTTGAACTCTGACCTGGGCACTGTCCCTCAGCTCTTCAGCTCAAGGCTAGTGCTCTACCACTTGAGCCACAGCGCCACTTCTGGCTTTTTCTGCTTATGTGGTGCTGAGGAATTGAACCCAGGCCCTCATGCATGTGAGGCAAGTATTCTACTACTAAGCCACCTTTCCAGCCCTCATTATTCCTTTTTAAAAGTGATCTGTCACCATGCCCTACCACCTTTCACCATTGAAAGCTTTTTGTGGGTTCTCACTGATAAAGACCATCCTGAGATGGCCTGAATTGTCTTCCCAGTCTGGTCTTGCCAGTACTACCTGCTGTCTTGTCCTCAGTGTAGTAGTCTACACTGCACTCAAGCCTGGTTCTGCTTCTCTCTGCCACAGGTCTTCGCATGTTGCCAAAGCACGAAAAAATTCTTCTGCCTAACTGCCTGCAAAGTGTGCTCAGCTGAAGTGTCAAATCTTTAGGTAGGCCTTCTCTGATCGAAGATCTCCTGTTCTAGACATTTTGGTAGAACTTAAGATTCCAGAACCTGGTTTACATTAACATAGAAAGCAAGCCATTGATTCCTCTCAGGAAGCTAAGGGTAGAGGCCACAGTAGACTTGTTCTCCATACTCATCACAATGCTGGCAAGCTTCACCACACCCCAAAGTGACTCCGTTGGGCCAAGAGCATAGATGGGCCTTCCCAATCAATATAAGGATTCTAAACAGGCCTCAGATCACTTTAGGCTCTTACCCCTCTGACTGCATCCTGGCAGCACCTGAGATGTTAAATTAATATTTACCTATATGGTTTTGTTTTTTGGTCATGATCGAACTCACAGCTTGGGTGTTGTTCCCGAGCTCTTTTGCTCAAGCCTAGTGTTCTAACACTTTGAGCCACAGCGCCACTTCTGGTTTTCTGGTGGTTAATTGGAGATCAAGTCTCATGAATTATTCTGCCTAGACTGGCTTTGAGCTGCAACCCTCCTATCTCAGCCTCCTGAGTAGCTAAGATTCAAGCGTGAGCCACTGGTGCCTGGCCTCATTTTCAAGTAACTGAATGTTCAGAAAGTTTAATGGAGGCATAATTAGCAACTAGTCCAATTGTGACATATTTGTAATTAGACCAGTGAGATCTCAGCATTTCCATGGGGATCATTTGGGGAATCATAGCAAGAATCTTGAGTTCTGGCTACAGCTCAATAAAACAAAGGGAAAAGCCTGTGTCTCTCCACTGTCTTTAGGTGGTCTCTTTGGGGGAGAGGGGCACTACTAAGATTTGAATTTAGGGCTGTCCACTTGCATGGCTTGTTTCAACTTGACTGGCACTCTGCCATTTAAGCCATGACTCCAGATTGGTTATTTTGGAAACAGACTCTTGAAGACTTTTCTGCCCAGACTGGCCCTGAACTTAGATACTCCAGGTCTCAGGCTCCTGAGTGGCATGATCCACCAAGCTCCTAGCTCTTGATTTTTGAGACAGGGTCTCTCCTATATGATAGCCTCAAACTTCTTGCCTCAGCCTCCCCAGTGCTGGGATTAAAGGTGTGTACTATCATGCCAAAAAATTTTTTTGGGGGGGACCGGGGTGCTAATACTAGGGCTTAAACTTGGGGCCTCTTTTTTTCCTCAAGGCTGGTGCTCAATCACTTGAGCAACATCTTTACTTTTGGCTTTCTGGTAATTAGTTGGAAATGATTTGTCTGCCAGGGCTGATTTCAAACTCCAGTCCTCAGATCTCAGCCTCTTAAATAGCTAGGATTATAGGTATGAACCACCAATACCTGGCTATTATAGCTCAATGGTACAGCCCTTTCCTAGAATACTTGAGACTGTAAAATCAGTCTCTAGCACCACAAAAAAAAAAATTACCACCCAGAGTCCACTTGAATTTTGTTATTCACCTTCTTAAAGAAGCTGCTCATAAACAGCCACCTGTTCAAGCCTCATTTGTAACACCAGTCAGTCCAACAAGATCCCTCAGCCGTTGGCCTGTGCATGGAAACACATCCCCCTCCACCTCCTCACTGTGTGCCCTGCTGACCCCCATGGCCTCACACATCAAGGCTGTACCTGGACTTCCCCAAAAGACCGCTCTCATGGCCAAAAGATCTTTAATTCAATACGCATCTTTCTTAGAAGCTTCAGCTCTGTCTGTAGCCCCACGCAGTACCTCTCATGTGGATGAACCTCTATCAATAGTTTCTCAAGTGCCTGCAAATCTGGCTACCACAGACTAGCCTGTGCCATCAAAAGACAATAACAAAGTCAAGGTGACTGTCAGTAGCACAAGCTTTCCTTAAACCTTGACATAAATTGCATCCAAATCTTTAGGATTGTTTTTGCAGCATTTTTTATTTGCAGGCTCTGTCCAAATATACTGCCTTTCACAAAGGATTTTGAGAACGGGATGGTGGCAAGAAAGGAGAGACAGCAAAAGCTTGCTTGTCTGTTCCACTTGACACATTAAGCAGGCCCATTTTTCACATCCGTTAAATGATGTATTTGAAACTGAAGGTGCTGTCGCAGGAGAGGCGCTTGCCCTTGCATCTCCCACACAAGTCTTGACGGTGGGGGCGTTTAGGGTCCACATGGCGAAGTCTTACTGGGCAGGAACATCTAGTTCTTTGACAACTCTGAAAAATCAGTGTGAAAAGTACATAGAAAAGATGAACCTTAAGACTTCAGAGTGACTTTTCTACTCCAAACACTTCCTGAGTGCTATCTAAGACAGGTGCCTGGGTTTGGCATCACTACATACATCTACCAAGCAATGGGATTAGGGGGAAGAGGCAGCAGGTTTGATTCTTCACGAGGAACTTTTGAGGGTGAGGAAGAAAATAAGTAG